GAGCAAAAATAAACAAGTAGAGTCCAAACATAATTTAAAATATCAATGAAACGAAGACTTGGTTTTTTTAAAATGTAAACAAGATTGACAAACTTTTAAACAGACACATAAAGACAAAAAGAGAGAGGACACAAATAAATAAAATCTGGAACAAAAGAGAAGTAACAAATGACACCACAGAAACACAAAGAATTATAAGAGAATATTGTGAATATGTCAACAAATTAAACAATCTATAAGAAATGGATAAATTCCTAGCAACATATAATCTTCCAAAACTGAATCAAGAGACAGAAAATATGAACAGACCAATGAAATCGAAGCAGTAATAAACAGACACTACCAACAAGCAAAGCCCTGTGCTGGATGGCTTCACAGGTGAATTTCACCAAACATTCAAAGAACTAACACTTTTCTTAGGCTATTCCAAGTATTTCAAGAGGCGGGAACATTCCCAAGCTCATTTTTCAAGGCAAGCATTATTCTAAATCCAAAACCAAACAAAGACACTACAAAGAAAAAAAAATTATAGCACAATATCCCTGTTGAACATAGATGCAAAAATACTCAACAAAATATGAGCAAACTTAGTCCAGCAATACATTAAAAAGATCACACACTATGATTAAGTGGAATATATTCCCGGGATGCAAGCTTGATACAACATCCACAAATTAAGAAATGTGATACATCACATAAACAAAAGGAAGGATTAAAATAAAATGATCAAATCAACAGACGCAGAAAAAACAGGTGACAAAATCCTGCACTGAAGTATGATTAAAAAAACTCTCAGGGAGCCCTGGCCGGTTTGGCTCAGCGGTTAGAGCGTCGGCCTGCGGTCCAGAGAGACCGGGGTTCGGTTCCCGCTAAGGGCACGTACCTCGGTTGCAGTTTGTCCCCGGCCCTGGTTGGTCGTGCAGGTGGCAGCCACTCGATGTGTCCCTTTCACAACGATGTTTCTTTCTCTCTCTCTTCCTCTCTCTCCCTCCTGCTCTATCTGAACAAAAAAAATGGAAAAATGTCCTCAGGTGAGGATAAAAAAAAAAAAAACTCTCAGGGAAGTGGAAACAGTGGGAACACACCTCAACATAACAAAGGACTCATTTATAACAAACCCTGAGTGAACACCATACTCAGTGGGGAAAGACTAAAACTGTTCCCTTAAGATCAGGAACAAGACCCACTTCCACCACTAATACTCAACACAGTAGTGAGAATCCTAACCACAGCAATCAGACAAGAAGAAGAAATTTAAAAAATCCAAAATAAAAAGGAATGTGTAGCCGGTCCAGTGTGGCTCAGTGGCCTGAGTGTCGTCCCATGGAGTGAGAGGTTCCCGTTCGACTCCTGGTCGGGCACATGCCCCCAGTTGCGGGCTTGATCCACAGTAGGGAAGGGGGGGCGTGCAGGAGGCAGCCAATCGATGTTTCTCTCTCACACTGATGTTTCTCTCTCTCTCTCTAAAAAAATCAATAAAAACATACTGTTTAAAAAGGAAGATGTAAAACTGCCATTACTTGCAGAAAACATGATACTAGATACAGAGGAACTTAAAAATGAACTCGATGAAGTAGCAGAACAGAAATCAGTGTTCAGAGGTGGCCTGCACTTTCCACAGCAGTGATGAACCACTGGAAAGGAAAACTGAGACGACAGTCCCATTCACAGCTGCCTCAAAAAATAAAATACCCAGGAATACATCTAACCAAGGATGCAAAAGGTCTGTATTCGGAAAACTGTAAGACACTGAAGAAAGAAACTGAAAAAATATATAAATAAAAGCAGATACTGTGCTCTTGGAAAGGAAAATTAGCATCATTAAAATGTCCACACTTCCCAAAGCAATCTAGAGATTCAACACAATCCCTTTCCTAATACCAATGGTGTGTCACAGAAATAGAAAAAATAACCCCAAAATTTAAACGGAACCACAAGAGACTGAACAGCACAGCAATGTTGAGAAAGAACAGAGCTCGGAGGCTCACGCAACCTGGTCTCACGCTCGACCCCGAGGCCATCGCAATCCGAGCAGCACGGTGCCGGCGTGGACACAGACACAATCGATGGGGCAGAGCAGGGAGCCCAGCATAAACCAGTGCCCATGTGGTCACTTAATATTTGACAGAGGGGAAAATGTACAGTGGGGTAAGACCGTGTAGTCAATAAAGGGGGCTGGGAAAACTGGACAGATACACGCAAAAAACTGAAACTACACCACCTTCTCACACCACACACAAGAATAAACTCAAGACGAATTAAAGACTTAAATGTAAGATCCCAAGCCATAAAACCCCTAGAAGAAAAATCTCTCATATTTCTTTTAGCAATATTTTTTCTGACACATCTCCTTGGACAAAAGAAACAAAAGCAAAAATAAACCAACGGGGCTAATATCGAACTAACAAGTTGTGCACAGTAAGGAAACCATCACATCAGCAAAACAAAAAGACAATCTACTGAAAGAGAGAATATATTCACCAGTGGTACATATGATAAGGGGTTAATATCCAAAATTTATAAAGAACTCAGACATCTCAATGCAAAAAAAACCCCAAAACAAAACAAACAACCAACCCCATAAACTATTCAATTAAAATATGGGTAGGGGACCTGAACAGACACTTCTCCAGACACGACATACAGACGGACAATGACACATGAAAAGATGCTCAGTTCCACTGGCCATCAGGGGAGCAAATGGAAACACAACACACACCTCACACCTGTCGGAAAGCCAGTCACCAACACAGCAGCCAACAAGCACTGTCGAGGGTGGGAGAGGGGGTCCTTGTGCCTGTCTCTGTCCCGCTCCAGTCACTGGTTTCTCCACGTCCTACCAATATGCAGACAGAGTTCTGTCCGATGGACCACCTGCACTTCTGCACACTAATGATGGATCTCGCTGGAGACTTGGTTTAAATACTACTTTTTTTTTAATCCTCCCCTGAGGGCATTTTTCCATTTTTTGTTCAGATAAAGTGGGAGGGAGGGAGAGGAAGAAACAGAGGAAGAGAGAGAGAGAGAGAGAGAGAGAAACATTGATGTGAAAGAGACACATCGAGTGGCTTCCACCCGCACGACCCAACCAGGGCCGGGGACAAACTGCAACCGAGGTACGTGCCCTTAGCGGGAACTAAACCTGGGTCTCTCCGGCACTAGACCACAGGTCAACACTCTAACTGCTGAGCCAAACCAACACTCTAACTGCTGAGCCAAACCAGTTTAAATACTATTTAAATGAGGTTCAAATTAAACTGCTTAGGAATCAAGACTGATATCAAGTCCACATGGCTTACAACTTTTTAATCCAAATTTGACATGAGAATTGATGCTACACTATGTCATACTACAAATTTTCTGTTTCATGTTGAGTAGTGTGCTAACAAGAACTAACAGAACTCACACAAAATTGTCACTGCTACGCTGACATCGTGAAACCAAGTGAGTCAGACTTTCACAGAGTAGGAATAGTAAGTTGAACTTTTCAAAGAAGTAGTTTTTTTTTTTATCCTCACCTGAGAACATTTTTTCCATTTTTTGTTCTGATAGAGTAGGAGAGAGAGAGAGAGAGAGAAACATTAATGTGAGACACATCGAGTGGCTGCCACCCGCACGACCAACCAGGGCCGGGGACAAACTGCAACCGAGGTACATGCCCTTAGCGGGAACCGAACCCGGGTCTCTCTGGACTGCAGGTCGACGCTCTAACCGCTGAGCCAAATTGGCCAGGGCAAAGAAGTAGATCTTAATAACAATAATCTTAGAGTGGGCCTAGGGGAGAAAATGCTTTGGAAAGTTCAGAAAATGCAAGATAAGACTGGATCAAGATTTCCCAATCCTGGTCTACGAGTCAAGGGTAAGAGGAGATCTACTATTGAATTAGTGGATTCCAGGCCATGATTTCACTATCAGAGAGAAGATAAAGATTATTTTAGTGAATTACTAGTATTTAATCTTTTAAAAATTTATCACTGTAGCATTACCAAAATCCATGGCAGGCTACCTACTGAAGTAAACTTCTATCTGTGTATCCAAGCAGTTCATGTTCAAGCCTGTGTGGAGATTTCGCAGACTGTGGGATGTACTTCATGTGGGAAGATTTTCTGTATGTTCTAGCTTAGGTCTTCCTGCTCTATATTCCGCAACCACCTGTACTCTCCCCTCCTTGTAACACTCAACCAACTTGAAATGACTAAAGGCAGTTTTCCAACTGATCACATGCTTCCCAGGGCAGCTCGACCTTCAGCCCCACTGTGCTCCCAGCAGTGCCTGGCACACGATCTGTGGGGGGCACACTGACGAACAGAAAGAACATACACAGCCTGATAAATAGCTGCCACAGTCTCTGAACTCATGTCTTATGCTATAAATAAGATTCATCAATGTTTGTTTCTGCTTTTGTGATGGTAGTTCTGAATCTACAAGGGTCTAATGTTGTGCAGTAAAACTTTGAGATTTAGACCACAGAATTTTTAGCTAAAATTCCACATCAGTTGAATTATTATTATTTTTTTTTATCTCACCGAGGACATTTTTTTCGTTTTTTGTTCAGACAGAGTGGGAGGGAGAGAGAGGAAGAGAGAGAAAGAAACATTGACGTGAAAGGGACACATGGAGTGGCAGCCACCCGCACGACCAACCAGGGCCGGGGACAAACTGCAACCGAGGTACGTGCCCTTAGCGGGACCGCAGGCCAAGGCTCTAACCGCTGAGCCAAACCGGCCAGGGCCACCTCAGCTGACTTATTTTTATGAAGATCCATTTTGTGTGATATTCCTTAAAACACAAAGAACTAGTATCTTCAATTCGGTGAAAAGAGCACTCAGCTTGACTGGGTTTAACAGGAGACGGTGACCAGAACACACTCTGGACCCTTGTCTGTACATCAGCTTCGCAAAGTGGGTGACCCGCAGATCTGGAAAGCTGAACTACTTAACCTCGTGTCTGATAAACAAATGTCTATAAAAATATTACAGTAAAATAGCAAATTTCCTTACCCAGGTGAGCAAATCATCCCCAATTTGGTCAATAACAGAGGTCTCGTTCCTCTTCCGAACAGCCTTCATTTGCTCATTCAACCCAACTGAAGGGGGAAAATAAAATGGAAAAAGATTAAGCATATATTCATCTCAGGCTAAGTTACTGGTAGGATTAAGAACTTAAATTCTTAAAAACAGATTCAGAACAGTGTAGCTACTTCTAGTCTCCTCAAATGTAAACCTGGATACAATTCTCACACGTCTGGTATCTGTGAGCTCCGGCTGGAGAGCGTAAGACAGTGTGACAACCAGCCAGCAACACACAGGACACCAAGTAGCCCTCCCGCCGCACACCCCGCCTGAGCCCAGGCACACAAAGCAGTGCCGGCAGCACAGGTGGTTCTGCAGCCGGCTCCCCTCAGAACGTGCCTGTTCGCAGGCACTGGGTGCGACCAAGCCCGAGCTGTGGATGCAGCAGACCCTCAGGTCCCCACTAGGAAGTGGAGGTGGTACTTAGGTGCGGAAAGAGGCCGATGGCAGCCCTGCCGAGAGACAGCACATCCAGGGTCAGGGAGAAACAGTGACTTATAAAGAGAGGGCCTGATACTACTGACGCAGAGTCCCAGAAGCATACAACCAGGGAACGCAAGCACGAAGGAACTTTTCTATATTTACTCAAGCATTCCAAGCAAAAATTAATTTAATTCCTGAAAATGATGCCATCATGGGATTATATATGGATATTACTTATATAGATGTTTCAAAATGCATTTATACATATATACTGACTATATATTTGTAAAAACATACACACTATAGTTGACAGAAGATTTTTAAGTGTAATTTTTACTCATGTTTTTCATCGTAGACACTGACATTAGATCCTTGGTCCTGTGTTACCTCTTTGTACATAAAAGGCTGGTATGGGTTTGGGGTTGGGGTTAAAGGTCCAATCATTTATTTATGTTGTGCACACAAACATTATTCCAGGAATGCTAACATGAGGACATTTGTAAGATTTCACTGTTATGGTACCTTTATATACTCACAATCTTTCTTATGTTGGAAATATTAGGGACAAAGATCACAGTCAATTTCTCTTACTGTGAAGTAGAAGAATATCTTCCAAGTTTGAAAAAATTTTCCGTAGTTCTGAGGGTGACAGAATCCCTTCTCTGGACACTCGCTGGTAGAACACTTGGTCCAGGACCTTCAGAGTCCGCACGTGAGCCCTCTCAGTGTAGAACAGCTCTGAGCAGAGAGGCAAACAGCTGTGTTACCGAGGATGAGTCCATCGACCTCTGTGCCTGCCTCACCCACAGCCACTACAGCATCCCCGGCTGTGCTCCTGCAGGCTGTGACTGGAACTAGCTAGCAAGTAAGTTCTATAATAACTACGTGTAGTTCAGAAAAGACAGAGTATCTCAGAGTCATTTTCTTGATGCCATAGAACTCTCCCACATATTGGCTCTAAGAGTTTAATACTAGCAAATAAAAATCATTAAAAACTGCTTTGTCCTTAAAGGTTAACAGTGTACTCCCAAACTCTCTGTCCTTTTGCGACGGTGCCCACCAACCACGACTACACTGGAAAGCGTGAGCCCACATCATGTGGCCTGTAACTGAGCCTTCCTCATAAATACAGCACCTGCACTTAGCTCGCCTGCCTTCACACCTCACCTCTGAGGCCGGACTTGTAATTTCACGGTTTCAATGTTACCAGGGCCAAGAGCATGCTTATTCCAATCACATCCTGCAGAGGGCGCCGCGCCCAGGTCCCGCCTCTGCCGGGCTCCCCTGGGCAGCGGAGGGAGCTGCACCCTTCCCCTTACAGCTGTAGATCCTGATTCCTTCCATCACCCTGGGCCTTACGTTCTCATTTATAATTTACAAACAAAATGAATTTAGCCTGAAAGTGAAGTGATGGCAAATGTTGTCTCAATGATCTTTTTGTTTTAAAGTTCAAGGGTCATCTACATAGTTTAGTTTCCTCTTTGTTAAAACAAAAGACAAGCAGAAACTTGGACGCAAACACCAAGACTCCAGGTATTTCCTGCTCTAATAAAACTCAGCACATGTAAACAACAACAGAAGCTCATTAAACTCACCATTAATCACTTCCTGCCGTTTGATCTCCCCTTGCTTCAGTCCCAGCAACACTTCCCGGCTGGCCAGCTGCTGCCAGTTGGGTGGGTCCGTCTCTAGGTCCTCGTCAAACTGTTCATCCTCACTTTGACTTTCTCCTAAAGCTATGCTGTCAAACCTAATGAAGAAAAAAATGATGACGAATCCTATTTGAGGACATCAAGCAGAAGCCTTTGCATTACAGTAAATCAGTCTGATGGACTGTGTAGTGTTTCTTCTCTTGAAAAATGTATTACTTTTGGCCCTGGCCAGTTTGGCTCAGTGGTTAGAGCATCGGCCTGTGGTCCAGAGAGACCCGGGTTCAGTTCCCGCTAAGGGCACGTACCTCAGTTGCAGTTTGTCCCCGGCCCTGTTTGGGTCGTGCAGGAGGCAGCCACTTGATGTGTCCCTTTCACGCCGATGTTTCTCTCTCTTCCATTTTCAGGAAATGCCTTTTTCCATCTCTGTATTTTCATTCTCTGCATATCTCTAGATCCGACACGGGTCTGTCGGCATATATGCACGAATCTTATTTCATCCACCCCGTTGTTTTCGTGGAGCATTTCGTACATTTGCACATGAAGTACTGATAAGTATGCAGTTTCTGTCATTTAATTAATGTTTTTCTGATTGTTTTGGAGTTCTTCTCTGTTCCTTTCTTATTCTCTCGCTCTTGTACGTTGATGACTTTCTACAGTGTTGTTTCCTTTCTTTATTGCATTGCTCACAGATTTCTGGTACATGCTCACCACTTGGTCCATATATACCATGCCTGTTCATAGCAGTCCACTATGAACACATGGTCACTTAGTTCTCATACACTCTAATATCACTACAATTTGTACTTACCCCCTGCACATTTATGCTTTTATTTCTTTCATGTGTGCCTTTATCCCTTAATTTATTGTTGTGATTACACACGATCCTTCTACTTTCGCCTTTTATACTTTGTACTCACTTTAGAGTTGGCTGTTACTAAGTGTTTGCCTTTGGCAGTGAACATTTTCTTCTTTCCTTTATTTTCTTGGTTTTATTTTTTTCTTTTCTACTTATAGAAGTTCCTTTAACATTTCTTGCATTACAGGTTTATTAGTGATGAAGTCTTTTAGCTTCCACTTGTCTGGAAAGCTCTCTCTCCTAATCTAAGAGGAGAGCCTCGCTGGGTGGAGTAATCTTGGTTGTGGGTCATTGCTTTTTATCACTTTTGAGTATTTCGTGACAGTCCCTCTGGCCCACAAAGTTTCTGTTGAGAAATTAGCTGACAGTCATACTGGAGCTCCCATGGACATAACTGCTTTTCTCTTGCTTTTAAGATTCTCTTTGTCTTTTACCTTTGGATTGTAATTATAAGGTGTCTTGATGTGGACCTCTTTGGGTTTATCTTGTTTGGGACACCCGTGCTTCCTGGGCCTGTGTGTCTATTTCCTTCACCAGACTAGAGAAGTTTTCACTCATTATTTCTTCAAACAGGTTTTAAAGTCCTTGCTCTCCCTCTCCTCCTTCTGGGCATCCACATGACACAAATGCTGTTACACCTGTTGTCCCAGAAGTCCCACACACTGTCCTCATTATTTTTCATTATTTTCTTTTTGCGGTTCTGAAGGGTATTTTCTGCTACCTTGTCTTCCACGTCGCAGATTCAATCCTCTTCTTTAATCTGCTATTGATTCTTCCAGTGTCTTCTTCCTCTCAGTTACTGTGTTCTTCACTTCTGACTGGATTTTCATGTGTTCGAGCTCATTTAACTCATTTGTATATCCTCTCTGCTGACTCTTCCCCTAAGTCCCTTGAGTGTCCTCGTAACAAGTGTTCTGACTGCATCCGCTGGATTGTCTCTAGTTCAGTTCTTTCTCTGGAGTTCTGTCTTGTTCTTTCTTTTTAAACGTTTCTTTGTCTGACTCCCCATATTTGTTTCCACATATTAGGGTGACCTGTTGCGTCCTCAGTTCTTGGCAGAGTGGCTTATGCAGCAGGTGTCCTAGGAGACCCAGCTGCAGTCTGGGTGCTCTTGGGGTGTCTACCGTGTGGGCTGTGTGTGCCTATTACAGTTGAGCCTGATGCCACTGCGCAACGGTGGGCAGGACTGGCCCTGCGGCAGCCTGGCTGTGAGGGCTGCTGTGGCTGCACCAGGCGAGCTGTTGTGCAAGGACGGGGCTGACCTCTCGGTGGCAGCGAAACCCACCCCTCCCATTCGCCCTGTGGAGCTGCTCGGTGCTGCTCTGCGTGTTCTGAAGCCAGCCACAGTGTGTGTTGTTTCTGGAGCCTCTTGTAAGGGCTAGGTGGGCGGCTCGTGCCACCTGGTGGGAGCTAAAGCGCGATCAACGTTGGATGCCTCCTGTGCGGCAGTGGGAGACACGTGGAAGAGGTTATGCTGCAACGTCAGGTTGGCTGTCGACAGTGCCAGGCTGGAGGTCCTGTGGTAGTCACCATGTAGTGGTCACTAGCGCTACGCTTAGGACCACTTAACTGAAGCTACTTTCCAAGCCAACAATGGCCCCAAGTTATGCCGGGTGTGGGGCCACCTGATGGGAGTTACAATGCAAGCTGAGACTGATTGCTGGTTGTCCTGTGCCTGGGGCCCCTTAGCAAGTGACACAGAGTGTACCACAGCCAGCCCCTACTTGTCTGGGGTTTGGGGACCCTCGGAAGATTTTAGGGAAATCTGCAGCATGAGCTAAGGCAGACTGCGCGTGTAGAAAAGCTACCGGAACTGGCTCAGGCTGGCGGGGTGGTGTCTGAGTGAATCCACATGGCCGGCAGCAGTGTCAGCCGGGCTCCAGGAGGCACAGACGCGGACCTGCTGAGCCTGCCAGGCGGGGGAGGGGTCAACAAAGGAGCAGTGGTGCAGCCGGCACGTCTGTCTCCAGAGTGTTGTTCTGATGTCTGTCCTTCCAGATCTCAGCCCCAAGCTACTCAGCTTAGCTCCCCCATGTGCCCCGGCAGTTCCCGCTGCTGTCCTCACGCTGCAGCCCGAGTGAGTGGGTTCAGAGGTCCGTCAGTCAAGGCTTCTCGAGAGGAAGGCCTGGCTCCAGCAGCCTCTGCCGCCCTCAAGCGCAGTTCCAGCTGGTTCCCAGAAATCCCACTGGTTTTCTCAAAGCAGCAGGAGTCAGTTACGTCCACGGGAGCTCCTCTTCCCAGCACTGCCGTCCCAGGCAGGGAAGCCCAGTGTGGCTGGGACCCCTCATTCCTCAGGGGAGATCCCCGTAGCCAAGACACCCCTTCTGCTTCTTAATTTCCACACGGTGGGTGTGGGACCTCCCCATTTCATGCCTCTACTCCTATGGGTCTCAACAGGGCTTCTTTCCAGTCCTGGTTCTAGCACTTCGAAGTCCGGCTACTCCGGGTGGTCCCTTCTCAGCGACGGCTGCTCCGCGATTTCGTTGTGATCTGTGCTCGTGGGAGGACGGGCACAGCACCCACCTACTCAATCATCTGGGCCAGGAGTCCCGAGTCTCTCTGCCTTTAAAACAGGATTTAGGGCAAAAAATATACATCTCCTAAAACGTGCCTCTATGAAATCCACCTTAGGGTCACTCACTTTCGGAAGGGCTTTGGGGTCCCGTGTTCAGTCATCCTGAAACAAGGAAAACAAAATGGTGATCACAAGAAGAAAACGCCGAAGGGTTCCACACTGGGTTAGACTACAATGGCCAACAAATCCTTCTTCTGGATATTGTAAGGTAACTATCAAATGAACTGAAAAACATTAAGTACCTATCGAATATTTACTACCAATACCAGTTCCAGTTCCTCCCCAAACACCACACGGGGGAAGAACTGTGAAATGCAGGGACACCCTACAATCAGAACACGCCGCACAGGGCCCTGGACGGACCGTGTCTCTGAGTTACCTGTCTGCCTCCCACTCCTCCTCCTGCACCTGGTCCAACGCAGGAGGCAGGAAGTCGAAGACGGCATTGGCAGTGCGAGGTGTGCCGTCCACGGAGTCTCCAGGTGCTGGAGTTTCTCCTACTTGTTTCGATCCTGAAAAGAAAAATGTCAGACATTCAACTCGTGTCACATGCACATAACAATATATACGTGTTATGATCACTGATGTCCAGCCGGTGTGGCTCGGTGGTTGAGCATCGACCCATGCATCAAGAGGTCGCCAGTTCGATTCCCGGTCAGGACACATCCAGATTGTGGGCCTGACCCCCAGTGGAGGTGGCCAGTCAATGTTCTCTCTCATCGATGTTTCTCTCTCTCTCTCCCTTTCACTTCCTCTCTCTCTAAAAATCAATAAAGAAAAAAAAAAAAGATGATCACAGAAAACCAATAACTTAGCCCAAAAGAGCTTCCACCTAGTCCAGTCACGTGTGTATTTGAACAACTGTGGGTAAGCTAGAATCTAAATTCTAGTACGTAAAATTTTTAAATACATTGAGAAGCAAACAGGAAAGTCATTTTAAACAGCTTTTAAATGTCAGCATAAGACACGGCAACAACTCAGAAGAGCTCTGATGAGAAAAAACATTCACTTTGTCTTTCCTGCCCCCAATCTTGTTCATTCACGTTTCAGACGTTAGGGGATCCAACAACAAATGATGACTTCATACTTCTTCTTCTTATTATCTGTAGGTAACATCTGTTTCTTCCTCCTCTGCAGATATCGCTCCTTTAGGCTTCCTGCCTTCAATTCCCCATTTCTTCCCAGTGTTTTATAATTATACTATTAATCGGGTTATTAGTTATTACCTAAGTTTAAACAATATAATTACACCTACATTTTTATCCCTTCAAAAAGTCAGTGTCTCTTCTATGCCAGATTAGGTATTTAGTGTGCATTTCCTTCCTTCTGATTACATTTCTTTCCGCCTACCTTCATTTCTTTCAACTACAATTTTACTTGTATGATTAACAGGATTTTTTACATTTCCGTTCTGATCTGCAGCCCCAACTAAATTATCTGTGCTTTGCTTAAGAGGCTGATTGTAAAAGTCTGAAAACTAATACAGTGCTTACATTATTATGACAATAAGCACAGATAACATACATATACATAGCATCCCTGCCGGGATGAAAGGTGTGCTAGGTAGGACTATATCTTCTCTTCTACTGATCCAATGATGTAATTCCTGGGACATTTGAAATAAAATACTTACTATATTCTACTCCACCAATTACTTTAAGATCATGCACTTTTATTTTGTTCCATGTTTAAAATCATGATTTAACTTTCTGAACAACTGTTTTTCTCAATGCTTTATTATTGCTGTCAAAGTAATATAACTTTATCAAGTCTCAAACTTTTCATGTGCTGTTATTGTACAATAAATAACGTGCTCAAAGTCCCCTCGCACATCCTCTATGCTCGTGCCCCACCGGGAACAGCTGCTCCCGCAGCCTGTGACACTGTCGTCCGAGAACCGCCCTTCAGACACCCCTGGGTTGCTTCCCCTTTTCCTGGATCTCATACACTTTCTTTCTTAATATTGCTCTCACTCTGCTGAAGTGGCATCTTCAAAAATTTTCAAGTACAAGGTACATTTCAGATAAACTCAATCCTGGCTTATCTGAAGATGTCTTGACATCTTTCTTCGTTTTACGGAGTCTGAATGGACACAAGTCTGAGGTCAACGCCACTCCCTTCAGAAGCCGACACGGCTCAAGCACTGGGCGCTATCAGAGGTGCGGGCGGTACAACCCCTTTCTTTCTCGTCAAGCTTTTAGGATTTTTTTCTTTATTTCTGGTGCACTGGAATTCCCAGATATTTAAGGTATGATCTTCTATTTTTACTATTATTCGCTGTAGGTGGTTCCAAGTGAGCTCTTTCTGTCTGGGAAGCATCCTTGTCGCTTCTCCATCCGCCCGCCTCCACTTCCTCTGCGATGTGGGGTGACCGAGACCTCCCAGTGCTCTCCACGCGACTCCTGTCTCTTCCTTCTCTCTCTCTCGATATTTATGACATACCTTCTGGGTGTTGCTTTGACTTTATTTCCAGGGTCGATTTTTCTCTTTACAATTAGCAGTTTGAAAATATGTCCACAAATTCTTTGATACTACCCTGTTCAAGGGTAAAGCCCCATCCTTCTACCGGAGTGTGAACCAGATTTAGTGACATGATTCCAACCGGCTGAGGGACCATGTGCACCCAGAGACTCCCCACTGGCTGAGGGACCGTGAGCACCCAGAGACTCCCCACTGGCTGAGGGACCGTGAGCACCCAGAGACTCCCCACTGGCTGAGGGACCGTGTGCACCCAGAGACTCCCCACTGGCTGAGGGACCGTGAGCACCCAGAGACTCCCCACTGGCTGAGGGACCGTGTGCACCCAGAGACTCCCCACTGGCTGAGGGACCGTGAGCACCCAGAGACTCCCCACTGGCTGAGGGACCGTGTGCACCCAGAGACTCCCCACTGGCTGAGGGACAGTGAGCACCCCCAGGGACCAGAGCCATGAGAGACGTTGCGGCTTCTTTCTTGCTCCTTCCTTCAGATCACTCTGGGAAAAGTCAGCTGCCACATCACGGAGCGCCCAGCAGGTCTATGGAGAAGCCCATGTGGTGAGAAATGGAGGCTCCTCTGTCACCAGCCTCCTGCGTGAGCAGGAAGCGGTCTCCTGCCTCCACGTGGCTTCCAGACGGCAGCCTATGGCAGGCCCCAGCCAGAGCTGCCCGAGGTGCTCAGCTCCTCACCCACCAAGACACCAGAGATAACAGACTCTCCGCGAGGGAGCATCCAGCTTAGGGGTGTTCATCACACGGTTCACTAGTAATGCAGTAGCTGGCACTGCAGGTAGCGGTTCCGTTAAAACTTCCCGTGGTCTCTGGGTGCTCCTTGCCCACGGCCCCTCCTCTTGCTCTACAGATGTAAGTGGGAACTCGAGTCTCGAACTCAGTTCTGGAAGGTGCTCGAGAAGCAATCTGTTCAAAAACTGAATCTGCAGCAACAAAGGCAAAAAAAAACCCTAAAAAAATATTCACAGCAGCACGATGTCCACGGTGCAGGGAGGTAAACCTCTCACTCCTCTCCCCGTCTCCGGAGGACAGGCGGGCGGTGCAGCCAGCAGTGTGGACGTGCTGTTGGCTTAGAACTGAAGCTCTGTCAACAACAGAGACACTTCTCATGACAGGAGACGATGGGGAATTGAGGCTCGACTGTAGTAACTTCTTTCTTTTCCCCAAGTACACTATCAAATTCAAAAGGCACAGTTTCAAGTTCTTGTCTATCATCAAAATCATCGTTTTCTGCCAGAGGCAGTTTTTCTGTTCACTTTGGATTCTTTTTACACCACTGTCGGGTGCACCTGCAGTGGCACATTCTCTTACATCCGACTCCGAGAAGCACACGCCGCCCAAGCCGGTAGCGCTGCTCACAGCTCAGGGTCAAGACCCCGCAGACGCCCGGCTCTGCTCTGGTGACGCAGCCTCAGCTGGAGTTCTCGGAGCAGCATGAGTCCCGGCACCCCACTCTGCCAGGGTCTAGGGGAGTCCCGGCACCCCACTCTGCCAGGGTCTAGGGGAGTCCCGGCACCCCCACTCTGCCAGGGTCTAGGTCCCCAAATGTCAGGAGCCCAGGACAATCACTGTGGGGAACGGACTCAGGGCCACTCACTCCTCTGGCACCTGAACGACCATGGCTCACGCTCTGGAACGAAGGTCAGAAGGTGCTGACGTTAACTGTTCTGATCACAGACTTTCACCTTTTTGTCCTTCAGCTTCCTCATCCATGTGCCGCAGCTCACGCAGCTGAGCCTGCAGCCTCACGGCTCTGCCGGGCAGACGGCTCCTACCACGAACCCGTTTCCTTCACATCATCTTCCCCCATCAAACCACTGTTGTCCTCTGTCAATCTCCCAAAAATCTGCTGAAATCTCTTGTTGACAGCATCTTGTTTTCCTCTATTTCCTCTTTATGGCTTTTGTTTCCTTGTTCTCCACCGTGTTTCTATTTCCATGAACACGGGAGCACGATTCTGTGCATGTATGTACCCCAACATCTGCAGCATTCTGGATCAGACTCCAGACTTTCCTCCAAATGTCACCCCTACTTCTTTCTCTTAAATAAAAACCTGCCTATCCCACAGGGAGGCTGTGTTTCCTGTGACAGCCCTCTCCGAGAGGGATGTGTCCCGGTCACACGCCCTGTGCTGCAGGGTGGGGATGAGATGACGTCCGTCCTCAGTACCATTCCCAGACCAGGAACGTGCCTTCCTGCAGCCACGCCCCTGCCCCGGCTCCCTCTGGACCCGTCATGGGTCCTCTCAACAGTCACCCGGCAGCACCTGACCGGACGTCTGCTGCTGGCTCAGCTTTCTTCTCCTGCTGACATCACGGGGTGACCTCAAAACACCACACACGATGGAGCTGTTCAGACTCCTGTCTCCTTAGCTTCTTATCTTCTTCACCTTCAGCAGCCTCCTCCGTGCGCCGCAGGGGCCACTCCCACAGCTTTGTCCTGATGGGTCGGCGACAGAAAGTGAGCTGCTCCCAGTCACTCTCAGGCCTTCCTGCTTCAGATGGAACCACCTGTCCTCCCAGCTCAGGTGCTAACAAACCACCACAGGCTCAAAGCAACGTGACAACGAGCTGTCCCCCAGGACGCACAAGGACGCACGTCTCTCTCTCACTAAGTCCTCGCTGCTCCCACCAGCGCGTCACCTCACACACTCGCACTGATCTCCACTCGCCGCACAGCTGCGTCCCACGGCACGCAGTTCCTCTCCTGCATCTCCAACCTCCTTCCGCAAACTGGTTCACCCTTGGAAACACCTCTAATCTCTCTCATGTTTAAGTTTCCTTTACACCCCACATCTGCCCCACCACTGACCAGGCTCCCCGACGCGCCCTCGGCCTGTGCTCCCCACTCAGCACCGAGTGGGTGTGGGCACCGTCCCGCCCAGGAGCCTGAGCTGCAGGGCAGGAACCTGTGCACGGGGGTCGTGCGCTGACACCCGGCAGGAAGCGAATGCCTGATAGAGTTGGATGGATGAGAACTTAAAAATTATCATTCAGTACAGGTTTTTCATTAGTTCAAATGTTAAAACTGAATTTAACTGGGGTTCAGTCCTGGTTAAATAACCTGCTCCTCTACGTCTCGTGAGTAGGACTGTTCGGAACCTGGGTGCTCAGTGAGGCCGAAGCACAGCTCACCCGTATCGTTCTCCTTCCCTCCGTCCTGGGGGACAGGGGCCACGGAGGCCACAGGGGACATGGAACTGGCCGCCAGGTATCCGATGTCTGCTCCTTCGCTCGCTGACCCGCTTGGGCGCCACTTGGCCGCGTCCTGAGGCTCGGGGCTCGCAGGGGAGGGCGAGGGGGAGGGCTTGGGGTGGCGTTGCTTCTGCAGCTCCATGGCTCTGCCGACTGAACAGAGAGATGGTCAGCACCGCATTCCAAACAGCTGAGGAAGCGGACGTAAAGACCTGAGAGAAAGTCTACGACATGGTAGGCCCTAGAAAAATACAGACTGATTATTCCAGAGTGAGGAAGAAGGGAGAGTGAGGAAGGTGCAGAGGGAGGGGACAGAGGGGAAAGAGGGGGAGACGGAGCAACATGAAGGGGAGAGAAAGATGAGTCGGGCCCTGGCTGGTGTGACTCAGCGGTTAGAGCGTTGGCGCATGGACAAGGGGTCTCGGGTTCGATTCCTGGTCGGGGTTGTGCAGGAGGTCAACAACTGATCTCTCTCCCTCCCTCCTTTCCACTCTACCTGAAAATCAATGGAAACGACCCTCAGGGGAGGATGAGCCACAATGACGAGTCATGAGAAGGGCTGAGCAGAGCCACGCAGCGGGCAGGGGTGCCGAGACGAGACAGGCACACGCGGAGCCTGTGGAGCTGCAGCTTCTGCAGGAGTCGGGATGGAGCCTTCAGCTCCCTGGGCTCCCAGCAGCTGCCCACTGTGCCCAGCACTCAGCTCATCACCACAACACGCCTCAGGCCGTCAGGACGAGCCTGCCTGGTCGCCATCCCTGCCAGCCACAGGAAGCTACAGCCTCTCGGCACCACCCTCCCGGCACTGCGCATCCTCACAGGGTTTCACACAGCGTCAACCTCAAAGTCCTTCCCTCCTTAGCTCCAAACATTCCTTCTGTGTCCCTTGGACCCGTGGTCAGCATCTGTGAAACGCTCCGTCTCCTCAGCCTTCTCTAAAGGTGTCCTCCACCTTCTCCGCGCTCCTCAGCAGGGTGCTCACGGCAGCACAGGGCTCCTCGCCGTGCGGGCCATGCGCTACCGCCCCCTAACCACGCCAGCGCTCTCTCAGGCACTGTCTCCTCCACCAGGCCTGACGGTGCAGGAGGGCCAGGAAATGAAGCACGAGGGAGAGGTGGAACCTTGCAGAATTATGGGACGAGTAATATATGCATAAAAAGTTTAACAAAGTATGGTGGAGAGATCCATGCTCATTTTGTGTGTGTGTTTTTTTTTTATCCTCACCTGAGGACACTTTTCCATTTATCTTCAGATAGAGTGGGATGGGGAAAGGGAGGGAGGGAGGAAGGGGGAGAGAGAAAGAGAGAGAGAGAAACATCGAATCAAGAGACACACCTCGACTGGCTGCCTCCCTCACGGCCCTAACTGAGGCCAGGGACCGAACTGCAACCCAGGTACATGCCCTTGACCAGAAGCTATCCAACGAGTCTTCTGTCCGCGGGCCGACGCTCTAACCGCTGAGCCGAATTGGACAGGGCTGTGTCTTTTTGTTGTTGTTTTTTAATTTAAAAATCTGAACTTGAAAGCAATCGAAACTAGAACAGGCAATAAAGTGCCGACAGATACCGTGGAAAACCCTACTGCCCTGGAAGGAGGTGTTCACAAGAGTCACGGGCCACAGGAGATTTCAGTCTACATGTGGTTCTGAAGGGACACAACACCCTGGAGGTTTGAGGGGTCAGGTCCAGAACACCTGTCTCCAGCCCCCGCCCTAGCTGAGGAGCCCACAGGGCGGGGGCGGGGACGCTCCTTCCCAACACCACTCACTTGCGCTGTTGTCCTGCCGGCTTGGCCTCCTTGGGGGTCCCAGGATGCTGGAGAATCCTCTTCGCTTCCCCTTTTCTTCGCCTTCCTTATCTTTCTTCATACTTTGCTGGAGGTACAATCAAAGAGGTAAGAGATACATAAGATTTCTCTTGTTGCTTCCAAACACAGAAATCCAACTCCAATGGCCATTTGAAAGAAATCGGTTCAATGTGAATGAGACACACAGCACCCATCAGAGCCTGGCACGGCCCTGTGCACACATCACACTGCAGACGTCCGGAAGGAGGCGCCACGGGGGCGAGCGGTGACACAGGGGACCAGGCCAGGGGCGGTGCAACCCACGGCGCAGATGGCGCGTCCCAGACTGCACTGGAAACCTACATGATTCCATCAACCCAGGCACTCCATTAAGTTCAATTTACAAAGCTGAAGATACATATTTCCACACTCTTCAGAGCTTACAGTCTTAGCAGATAAAAAGGCAGCTATGTGACGTGCATGGGGAGCTCGTTTGAGATGGTGCGTCTCTGCACAAAGGTGGCCCAGCGCACCAAGGAGCACGCAGAGCTCCCGCACAGGGCGAAGGAGCTGCAGCCCCAGCGCTTCCCCATCTCACAGAAGCTCGGCGAAGCCACAGGACCACCACGGTGGCAGAGCTGCCGGAAAGGACGAGGCGTGGCAGGGTGGGGTGCGCTCTGGGGGTCGCTGCTCAAACCTCTGCGGCCCAGCAGCCGGACTGCTCGCCAGACCAGTGTTTCACAGGAGCCGCGCGAGCCCCCGGGGTGCCCGCCGCCGCCGCTCTGCTGGGAAGTCGACTGAGAAAGGGAGGCAGGAACCCGAATGCAAAGCAGCTGAGACCGGGGCTGGGCTCTTCCCCTCACCTTGATTTTTGGGAGAAACCCGATGCGACCCCGCTTATGCTCCAGATTCCGAGGTTCCTTCACTCGCACTCCCAGGTGCTTCATGTACATGAAGATGACGTACTGCGTGGCCGCGCTGGGGGGAAATCAAGTGAGAGACGACTTCTTAGAGGGGAGGGTGCGTGGAGCACAAAGAGACGACTTCCAACCCCCGCGATGGGGTTCCTAGAATTCACTCCTCGAGCACACAGCAGGAATTACCAGAAAGGGAGTCTACTCAAGACACTAGCGTATTAGTCAAATAAAACACACACCACCAGAGGGAGATAGTCTATATTTTTTAAGTTAAATAAAATATAATTTAGAAATGAAAAAACAGTTTATTTTTTTAAAATTCTAGAAATAAAGAAAAAAAAAACAGCTATATTACCTCTTATCTTCTTCTATGGCCTGGGCAGTCATCCTAGAAACAAAAACATTTACAAATGAAATACGGAGATTTGAAGCGTTGCTATTAAACCCAGACACTGAGTGGCAGAAGGCCAAGTGCTGGGAGCCGCCCAAGTCTCTGCCACGTGGGGTGTGATCCCCGACCTCCAGTCCTCACGGGAGCCACCTGCTTCCACGCTCGTGTCATCAGCTGTCAACGTTTTATAGCAAGAAAGTGACAGTGGGAGCTTGGCTCTCAGTTCATTCCGGAAGGCTGTTCAAGAAGTGATTTTGTTCAAAAACAGAATCATTGTTTTCCCCATTAGAAATAATGCAAATTGAATTAATTCATTCTTCACCCCCAAATGATTCCCCGTTTTAACCTTTCTTACATACAGCACATGTCTAATGTGCTGTTTAATCCGTAAACAAACACTTCTTTCCTTAAACGTGCCGAGCCGCCCCACACCTCACAGGACCCTCAGCACTGCTGCTGCCTTCCAGGGCCAGCGCGAGCAGGCTCACATCCACTGCTTCCGAAGGCTGTGACCTGCGACTGTTTGTTTATCCCAATCAAATAGTTTTTCTACCTCTCCCCTTGCCTGGATCACTGTTTCTTAGACACCTCTAGCCACATTAGCACCCTTGATGGCCTCTTTATGTTTCAGAATTGTGCTAATCGTCCATGTCACCAGCGACAAAAGCAAAAACAAAACTATTCACAGCAGTCTCCTGAGAGGTTAGCTGTGAAGGGCCTCATCCTGGCCCATTCTCTCCTCTGCGGCCTGAGATGCTTTGTGTCAGGGCGATGTATCAGCATGAAAGGGTTTGTCCAGCAGCCTCCGCTCCCCAGGAACAGCGTGTGGAGACGGGACTGTCTGGGAAGGAGGTATGAGAGCCAAGGTCCGACTGCATTCCCAGAACCTCTGAACTGAAGCCAGTGGAAGTATTCAATCTGTTTTGATCTGTGAGAGATTTTCTAGGTACTCATTCTGCTAATACCCAGAAAAAGACAGTCAAAAACTGCATTTAAAGTATCAGCATAAGTAAAAAAATTCCAGTTTCTCAAGTGTCACGACAAGATACACAGCCCCACACACCCTCTCTGAGGCCCTGTGCACCTGCTCAGAGCACTCCCAGCGTGACCAGCACCTCAGACGAGGGGCATTCCACAGACTTCTGTTACTCACAGCACTTCCTCGATTCTGGCAACAACCTGCTCTGCACACGCCCGCTCCTTCTCCAAAGTCGCCCGGTCCTTGTCTCGCTCCACGTCGAGTTTCGTCAGTTCGCTCTCCGCCAAGGTCAGCCCCATGCTCCGTTTCTGCCTGGGGGGAGGAGGGGTTTCCTGAGGTGGCCTAGAGGAAACCAGCCCTCATCCGAGTTTTCAGCTACAGGTGTCTAGCAACAGGCACCCAGCACCCCAGAGGAGAAAACTCCATAGGCAATCGCTCAACAGAACACATAACCCAAAGGAACATTTAGCACAGATACTGGGCTCAAATGCTGAAACCATACGGAATGGGAACTGTGGACTCGACCATCCTAACACTTTGACTCCAGATGTTCGTTATGTTTTAATTACAGTGGTAAAGACCATATGCTAAGCTGAAGATTAAATATGTACCCTTTCCTACCTGAAAAAAACTTAATTCAGAAGAATGACATGCGCTCACATCTACCACCAAGCTTACCGGAAGTCTTCCAAGTGCCTCTGAATCTCCGGGTGGACTGTCTCCTGCATCGTCTGGATGTAGTGGCGGTGCAGTTCCTCAGGGATGAGCTCAGGTCGCCTTTTTTCTGCAAAAAGAAAAGGGAAAGAATGACTTGATCTAAAGGTATGACCTGTGCATTCGAACTAGCAACATATCAGTGGTATTTGGTGTAAACTCATCGTGGAGTAGAACAAAGAGACCTTCTATTCAGTTCACGCATTTCACCTCAAATTCAGATTCCATTTACAGTTAAGTGCGGGTGACCTACCAGTCACCACGTGACACACAAAACCTTCGGAAATGAGCCCAGCTGCCCACCCGCAGCACTGACTCCCCAGGACACCAGTGCTCGGCCTCACCTAGATCTGCTGCTATCTCGTCCGGAACGGGAACTTTCAGGTGCTACAACAAAACGCAAACAGAAAGTAAGACACTAAGGACTTTTCAAGATGCACACGAGCACCTGTGTGAAGTAAACTAACAGCCTGGGCACCTATTTTCACAAGCATATTGATGTCTAACCCACTTACTGTGCTTCACCCATCCAGACACAGCTCTGCTATGTCCTGCTGTTTAGGCTGGAAAATAAGCTCCTTCCCAAGAATCGTGCTGCACAGGAAACACCCAGTGTTCACTGGACGAGTAAGTGCTCCTGGGCCTTCTCGTTCGCATGGACTCTGGCTTTCTAGAATCCTTGGTTACTATCATCAGTCACACATCCTTTGAATTAATACACTAAAAACTAAACTATATGGCCCTGGCCAGTTTGGCTCAATCGGCCTGTGGACCAGAGAGTCCCAGGTTCGGTTCCCACCAGGGGCACGTACCAAAAAAAAACTAAAAACTAAACTATATGTGTCACCATGTGAAAATTTCTCACACAGAACCATGACTTCTAGTTGCTGTCTCTGAGGTGCTCCCCCTGCAGACCAGGGCCTCCCAGTCACTTCCTCAGAAAACCCTCCCACAGTCAGACGCAATGAGGGGTCCTGATGTCACCGAGGGTGAGGCGTCTCAAATCTCCAGTGACCATCTGTCGTGCTCCCACTGCTGAACTAACAAAGTGACTGTGTCAGAACTTAGTTCTTTACAGCGACAACTTTCCCCATAATAACTGCAGTTTCTGGTCCCACTACCAGGGAAAACAGTGTTTTCCTTCCCATCAATTTGCGAAATGTCTTGAAAATAATGTTTTTGCATTTACAGGAAATATCTTAACCTCTGCATACTTACTTTGTATTGTACACTCACTTAAGTCATAAACTTCCAGAATGTATACAATCACTGTCAGGTCTGAAGTTTTACATTTGAAAATAAGTCACTGCTAGAGCGAGGGGACCCCTGGCCCCACCTGCGGACAGGGAGACGGACTCTGGGGCCTTCTCCTTCCCTGGCTGCAGCTCAAAGCAGCCCAGAAGTAATTCCAGCACAGACACAGAAATGCAAATAGATGCTCATTTATGTACATGGGTATTTATATGAAAAAAAGAATCACCTGTGGTTTAGAAATAATTAACAAATTAATCAAGGTTCTTACATTGTAATGTTAATAAACTTACAAAGATGAGTATCAAAATATAAAATCTTAAGTTAGCATGGAGCTCTTTTAAAAAATGCAAAATTCAAATACTTCAGTATACTGTCATTTCTTCATGGAAGCAAATTATGTTCATCAGTATAATGTGGAATATTTTAAACAATGACAGTAAAGTCAGAATCCTAATTCACTGAAAAATATCTGCATGACCACTCTGTGCCATGATCTATTAGTACTGGTGAAACAGCAGTGAACAGACAGAAAAAAGTATCTACCCCGACGAGACTTACACTCAGGGCAGAGCAGGAATACAAACTAACAAACTAAATTACTGCAATGTAAGTTCCATGGACAAAGATAACAGAAGGTAACACAAGGGAAAGGGAGTGAGTTTCAGCAGGTGGTCAGGAAAGGCCTGAGTGAGGGGTGCTGTCCAGCAGTGGGCAGCAGCCTTGTGAAGGGTGCAGAGAAAACGGGGGGCTGGCGGGGTGGAGCCAGAACCTCCTGTGTGCTCATCTGCTGAAAGACAGACAGGAGCACCGGCACGGCTTGTGCCAACGTGAGCAGCTCAGCAGGAAACAGCTGGTGACCCAGGACAGGAGACACGATCCGCATGGGCGTGGGGCAGGGGTCCTGCAGAAGTTCTCTCCTGTACACTGTAACCTTCTCAAAGAAACAGCCAGGTCACCAGTGAGGAGGACAGAAGAGGAGAGACAGCAGCTGCAGGCGGAAGGAGGCACGAAGCAGCCTCGTGAGAGAACTGGGACAGGCCGCGTGGCGTCCGGGAAGCCTCAAGCTAACTGCTCTTTACCCTACATCAAAGCTAGTAATAAAATTCTTAGAATAAAAACCTACTAAGATTTCTACTGGTAAAATTAAACACTACTATCATTTATGTGAATAAGACCTTTTCCAACACTTTGTAGATAAACTTGCATCTGCAAATTTCAAAATGGCCAAGAAGAGTTCAATAACATAAGTATTACCCTTTGGACGCTAATATAGAAATGTGTTCTCTCTTTACTCCCTCATTCTAATCATACACACGTGTGAACCCAAATATGCTCACATATTCCTAACACCTACTGTGACAACGCACATGCCCACCACTGACGTGGACACGATACGAAAGGAACGTCGTGAGTCCTCAGTAACGGACGTGTCACAGTGCACAATAAAGTCCACAACCTCAGGAGGGAGCCCTGGCCAGTGGGGCTCAGTTGGAGTGTCATCCCGCACACCAAAAGGTGGAGGGTTCGATTCCTAGTCAAGGCACATACCCAGGTTGTGGGTTCGATCCCCCGTTGGGGCATGTGCATGAGGCAGCCAGCAGCTGATCAACGTTTCTCTCTCTCTCCCTTCCTCTCTCTAAAATCAATGTGAACAACGTTCAAGCACACGGGAGGGAACTGGCGTGAGAGGCTGGGAGTCAGTACAGCAGAGCAGACAGCTGGACTCAGCCACTCACTGCGGATCGGTCCAGGAAGAACTGGTGAAACTCAAGAAAGACACGGCGCGTCTCCTTGGAACTGGTCTGTTTGTACAGGTCCGAGTACAGGTAACAGAGCTGCCGCGAGAGATAAAACGGAGAAGACGAGGTGAGAAGCCCTGAAAAATGTCACCTGCCAGATCCCGCACATCAATGTGGGGTACGGGTAAGCATCCACGAGCAACGCAGTTGCTAACGTTTGACAAAGCATTTAAAAATAAATAACATTTAAGTATCTTTTATGTCTATCCTTATGTTTAGAAAACTGGAAAAAGTCTGTCCACGTATTTTGCAGAAGTCAAAGTTTCATGGTTTACAAATCAATGTAAAAACTGTGAAACACATTACCAATGTCGCAGGGTCGAACTGTGAAACCACGTGGTGTAAAAAAACAGCCAGGTGAGCAGGGCGAGATTTGACTAGTTCAATGCTTTGGAAACAGCTGCACTGCCCATTGATCTAGAAAAAGAAACAATTATACATCAATAACTCCAACACAAATGCAAAGTGTAATGTAAGCTCAAATAAACATAACTATTGAATTTTTACTTGAATCTATCTTTAAAAAATTCAAGGTTTAAAGAATTTCACTAGAATGAATTAGAAACACAGGCTATTTGGGGGGATGGGCTGGAAGTAAGACCATCTTGGGAGAATGAAGTTTAGATGATTATCAAGGAGCTGAAATGTCTACAGATCAGGATACAAAAACTATCTAACAATATTCTAAAAATGTAAAGGAAGGTTCTCTGCCTGGTAACAAAACAGGTGTTTTCCTTTTCTTTTGGGATAATTGCAGAAGTAGTGGTAGAAAATGGAGCTGTATGGTTTTAAGTGAGACACCCCCTAGAATACACGAATGCTTACACTGAAAACAGAAAACAGTAATAGTTAAAATTTTCATATAATTTTTCACATTTAAATAAAGAGAGACTAAAGTTAATCTAAACAAACAACAATTCTACACAATCTTTTCAGAAAATACAACAAGATGCAAGGCTTCTTACTCATCCTAAGAGGCCAGCAACACCCAACCATCAAAACCAAACAGAGAGATTACAAACAAAAACAAGCCAAACTACACTCCAATATCCCCCATAAACACAGACACAAAAATCCTGGGCAAAATAACAGCACATTGGCAAACTGCACCAGCCGCACCTGTGAGGGAAACACATCGTGAACGACCAGGGCTTATTCCCAGAATGCAAAGCTGGCTACACGCTGCTGTCGACCCACGTAACTCACCGAGTCAGGAGACGCGTATAATCATCTCACTCATTCAATAAAATTCAGTGTCCACTCATCAAAAAACCCTCAGCAAACTAGGAATAGAAGAAAACTTCCTTAACCTAAAATAAAAAGTCTCTACGAAAGACCTACAGCTGACTCCATTATGCTTGATGATGAAAGAGTAACCTTTCCTCCCAAGGTCAGCGATAAAGCAGAGGGACAGTCTCACCTCTCCGGTCCAACCTTGCACTGAAGTCCCAATCAGTGCAGTGAAGGTAACAACAAGAAATAAAAGATAAGTAGATTGGAAACAACAAAAAAAAAAGTGTCTCTATTCACAGAAAACATGGTTGTCTCTGTAGAAAATCGCAAAAAGTTATTTTCCAAAGCTCCCATGAGCACCAAGGGACAGAACCAAGCCAATCCTATTCCTATATACCATCAATGAACAACTGGAATTTGAAATTATTTAAAACAACAACAATGAAAACCCTTTACAATAAAGCCTCTCCCTCTCAAAATGGAGTACTTAGGTATAATCAATGACGTGTAAGTTGTAAAAGCAAATGCATTTCTACTGATTAAAGATAAAATGAGCAACTAACCTATGCAATTAACCAATTAATAATATTAGTTCTAAGATTTAGCTTCATATCCTTAAAAATATTTCAAACTCCAGAAATGTTCATTTTTACAACAATCAAATATCTCAGAAAATTACTGAGTTTTTTAGAAAAAAGATCATCACCTGTTCGTGCTCAGCACCAAAGTCGTCGTCCTCGGCTCCAATAATGTGAGGTGCTGTGCGGGCGGAGGGGCTCCCGAGAAGGGACTGCGTGTCCTGCAGACATTCAGAGAAAGGAAACAGAAAAGCCATCTGGTCACCAAACTCAGAGGAAGAAGGAAGATGAAGCATCGAGACATGTGGTTCACAAGCAGGTAGGATTTCTTTGTTTATTTTCGGCGTGTATTTCATTTTCACAGACGTGGTTCTCAGAGTCTCAAGGCCATGAACCAGGGTAGCAGAAACCCCACAACCACAGTCTTCACTTCTTCTTGGAGAGGAAAACACTCCCTGGAAATAAACACTCTCTGGTCACTGTACCCTTCGATTTCTGATTCTAATCACTCTTTGTACACTTCATTTATTATTTCATACATATCTAGATCTTGTTATAGAAAAATAAAATTAGCTTAGTATATAAATTGTTAAAATTTTTAAGTTATTGAAAAGTGAGTGAAGACAACAGGAAAAGAAAACATGAGAGTGGAGATGATAAGACAAGGTCAGCAGAGGTCAATACAAAGATTCCACTGATGTCGCATGTGGAAAGCTGTCGCCAAGCCCTACTTTTTCATTTTAGTTCTTTTTCTAAGTGCACTGATGCAAGGTTTCCATGCCTGGCACCGTGGATGTCCTGGGCCAGGTAACAGTCTGCCTGGGCTGCCCTGTGCCCTGGGGTGTGAGCAGCCTCCTTGTCCCAGGCCCACCAGGTGCCTGCACAGCTTTGGTCATGACCACCAGAAAATGTCCCAGACGTCACCAAACGTTCCCAGGGACAAAGATCACTACTGGCTCTAAATCCCTGGCAAAATGCAAGATAAAGCAAAAGTAATCACATAAAACACTGCTATAAAAAAATTACAGATCTCACTCCACGCAATAAATAGATCATCTATTTGTCAACTCAGAGTAAAATTTAGCATAAAATCGGCAGTGTACAGGCATTAATGTATAATGTAAAAAACATGGGATGTTCAAAGACCACAAATACTAAATTAAAAGACCACAGAGCATGAAGAAAAATAAAAATTTTGGAAGAAACAGAAAAGAAGGAGTTTGGCTTAAGTCTCGAAGCAGATGAACACGTGAGGTCTGCAGCTCAGCAGACAGTGAGGCTGCAGTGACCTGAGCGGCATCTCAAGTAGTTATAAGTGAAACTATGTAAAAGGATCCAAGTTATAAATTAAGTAAGCAATGCGTACCTGCAGTTGTCCCAACACTATATATTTGCATCTCCTAAACTTGATTCAGCCTTTTTTTAATTCTCACCCAAGAATATATTTTCCACTGATTTTCAGAGAGTGGGAAGGAGGGAAGGGGGGGAGAGGGAGGAAGAGAGAGACAGAAACAGTGATGGAAGAGGCACATCGACTGGCTGCCCCAGCACATGCCCTTGACCAGGACTCGAACCCAGGCTCCTGGCCTGTGGCCCAGTACTCTGACCACCAAGCCACACAGGCCAGGGCACATTTGGCTTTTTTTACTGCTTGTTTTTTAAACCCCAAGGCTGTAATAATTTAATTAAAAATCAGGTGAAATAACAGAAATCTGTTTAGAGTTGTAGTCAAACAACTTTTGATTTTATGCCTTATATGATTTCTCTGGTTTTCAATATGTTGCTAAGAATCAATGTATCACATATGATGTTAAGTCTGTTACTATAAAACTTTATGCAAGTCTAATTAAAAATAAAAGTCAAAATGCTAAAGTATTCAATTAAGAATACGCAAAATCCAGCCCTTGTACTTCTGAGCATGTACTTCTGAAAGGCCTGGGCAGGCATCTGCACGGCTGTGTCCACACAGCCGGACGACAGAAACAACCATGTCCGCTGACGAATGAAGGACACACCAATGTGCATGTACATGTGATGGGTTATGACTCAGCCCTAAAAAAGGATGAAGATTCTGACACATGCTACATCGTGGATGAACCCTGGAGCTGTCACGCTCGGGGAAGCAGCTGGTCAGCAAGAGGACAGACCTGGACGACGCCACTGAGAGCGGCTCCCAACGTCGTCAGAGCCACAGACAGAGAGCAGAACGGCAGCTGCCAGGGCTGGAGGGAGGGGACAAGCTCTGGGTGGGTAGCGGGCACCAAGCTCCACCGCGGGAAGATGGAAAGTCCCGAGATGAGGCTGAGGCACAGCACAGCGTGGGCGTAACTGGATGCAATGAACTGCACACTTAGAACCAATTAAATGGAAAATTTCATGTTATGTGTATTTTACTACAATAAAAAAACATTAAACAACCTAATAATACTAACTATGGAGTAGTTCTCCATTTACCCAAAAAATTTATTAAGTTCCTTTAAAGTTTAAGTTTCTCTAAAAAAAAAAAATAATATTACAAAGAGCAGATACGTCTGTCACTTCACATACAAGGAAAGCGGTATCACTACACATGTCACACTCACCGTGTCCTGAATTGCTTCACTTTTCTCTGGGTTTTCCTCAAGATAAACCCTCTCTCTCAGGCCACTCTTAGGACTCTAATGAAAAAACAACAACAACAACAAAAAAAACAGCTCATTTCACAATAGGCACACCAAAAGGAGAGAAAAAAAAAAGTGCAGAAACATAATCTTCTGAATTTCATACATGTATTTGAAACTACTAAATATCTTTTATGTAATACCTGGCTCTACTAATTTTTTCCTGACTTTGGCAAGTCACTAATTCTCTCAGCTTTTTAGTTTTATATTGACCAAACAACACAGAACCAGTAACAGTTTCCCTTCAGTTCTACCAATAACTCTAACTAGATATATTATGTATCCTAACACATGTGTCAAAAATCAATCCATCTTGATCCACCCCCTCTAACCCCTCTTCCCATGTTAAAGCTTTTGAACCAGTTACATGAATGAAATTAAACTTCTGTCTATTTTGCTGCTACTACCCCATGGGAAACTGATGTATGGATTTTTATAAAATCTACATGGCATGTTTGTGATGCCCTAATATAAAACAAAAACTACATGAAATGCAGAACTTCATTTGGGGGGATGAGGAATACCCCACAGCAATGAGAGTGATTCTTCAGAGCAGCTGAAAATGAGGCCCAGACGTCTGTGTGAATGCCAACAGGAAGATACATGCTATCTACACACAGACCCAAGTACAAACAGATAAAACAGCACAGCCACCAAAGCTACTGGGGAGCCACATTAAGAGACTACAGAACGCAATATGAGGAGGCTCCACTGACCAAAAAAAAGAGAACAATGTAGGCATCAAAAAGAATAATGACTGCAATAGACCGAAACACACTAAGCAAGTAAGCTAAACTATAGATTCGAGATGTCATGCACCTGAGTGCACGCACACATCCCCACACTGGTGACGTGTGGGCTTTGTCAGGGTACCAACTCTTCTGAAAGGAAATACATACAGGAAAAGAATTAAGCATTTATCCCATCTTTCCTGTATAAGCTATATTTTAGGGTTAAATACTATTAAGGGAAATTATTCTTTATAAAATAATTCCATCTAATATATACAAAAGAAATGAAGAACCATAATACCACTTTGAAATGACTAATTGAATAATATGCAGGCATTTTCAGAATCACTGGCAGGTAGAAACCTGAGATAAAAGCTTAATGGAGAACTTTATAATGAAAGAATTGTGCTCACATCATCTGACCACCTTCAACAAGCTCAAGTTCACACAACCAGTCACCACTGCGGTGACGTGACAGCGTGTGCAGATATGCAGGGCAGGCCACGATGAGCTGTCTATGAACCACTTTCAAACCTTATTGAATCGAGACTCATCTCATGTTCACACCATGCAAATACAATGAATGAACAAACGATCCAGTTTCTTTAACCAAAAATGGCAGCAACACAAAAAGAAGGGACTGTTATAAATCAGGAGACTTATCAAACCCTTGTTTAAATTCTGACTCACTATAAGACAATTAAGGCAATCAGATTGCAAATTAAGAAAACATTAATTCTAAAGATAGGATAATGGTAATATGGCTAATTTTTTAATTAAAAATCTGTAATGTTGACACTGCAGACTCATCCCACCCTCCCTCCGTGCCCACCTCCACCTACCCCACCACACCTCACCCTCTTCAGCCTTCATCACACTGCTGTCCCTGCCCGTGAATGTGTTTTTCGCTAATCATTTCAACTTATTTTTTCCATTCACCGCCCGCACCTCCCCTCTGGGTCCCGCCAGTCTGTTCCATGTATTCATGCTTCTGGTTTCATTTTATTCATCGTTATTTTGTTCATTAGATTCCACCTATTAGTGAGATCTATGGTACTTGTCTTTCTCTGACTGGCTTATTGCACTTAGCATAATATTCTCCCAGCACATCCATGCTGTTTCAGAGGGTGAGAGATCCAACTTTTTTACAGCTGCATGTTTTTCCACTGTGTAAATGTACCAGGTTTCTTATCCACTCATCTGCTGATGGGCATTTGGGCTGTTTCTAGATCTTAGCTACTGTGAATAGTGCTGCTATGAACATAGGGGGGCATCTATTCTTTCTGATGGTGTTTCAGGCTTCTTAGATGTATTCCCAGAAGTGGGGTCACTGGGTCAAAAGGCAGTTCCATTTTAAATTTTTTAGGGAACTCCATACTGTTTTCCACAGTGGATGTATCACTTTGCATTCCCAGCAGCAGTGTGCTAGGGTTCCCTTTTCTCCACACCCTTGCCAGCACTTGTGATTTATTGATTTATTGATAGTAGCCATTCTGACAGGTGTGAGGTGATACCTCAGTGTAGCTTTAACTGGCTTTTCTCTCTGATGATTAGTGACCTTGAGCATTTTTTCATCTTCCTATTGGCCATCTGTGTGTCCTCCTTGGAGAAGTTTCTATTCGGGTCCTTTATTTTTTAATTGTTTGTCTGCTTGGTATTGAGTTGTATAAGTTCTTTATATATTTTGGAAATTAACCCCTTATCTAATGTATCGCTGATGAATGTCTTCTCCTATACTGTGAGTTCTTTTAACTTTGATGTTGGTTTCTTTTGCTGTGCAGAAGACTTTCAGCTTGATGCAGTTCCATTTATTTGTTTTTCCCCATTTCCCTTGTCCTCAGAAACCTATCAGCAGAAACACTGCTGCGAGAGATGTCTGAGATTTCAATGCCTGTTTGCTTCTACAATTTGTAATGGTTTTGTGACTTACATTTAAGTCTTTCATCCATTTTGAGTTTACTCTTGTATATGGTGTAAGTTGGTGGTCTAGTTTCATTTTTTGCATGTACTTGTCCTATTTTCCCAACACTATTGAAGAGACCATCTTTACTCCATTGTATACTCTTGCCTACTCTGTCAAATATTAATTTATCATAATGGTGTGGGTTGATTTCCGGGCTCTCGGTTGTGTTCTCTTGGTCTATATGCCTGTTCTTATGCCAGTACCAGGCTGTTTTGATTACTACGGTCCTTGTAGTATAGTTTGATATCCAGTACTGTGATCCCTGCAACTCTGTTCTTCTTTCTCAAGATTGCTGAGGCTATTTGGGGTATTTTTTGGTTCCATATAAATTTCCGAAACATTTTTTCTAGTTCCATGAAATATGTCATTGGTATTTTAATAGGAATTGTATTGAATCTATAGACTGCTTTGGGTAGTATGAACATTTTCATATTAATTCTTCCAATCTATGAACATGGTATATGCTTCCACTTTTTTGAATCTTCCTTCCTTTCTTTCTTCAATGTCCTATAGTTCTGAGTATGCATGTTTTACTTCCTCGGTTAAATTTATTCCCAGGTACCTTATTTTTTTGGTTACATAGTATATGGGGTTGTTTTCTTAGTTTCTCTTCTGACAGCTCATTATTGGTATATAAAAATGCCACTGATTCCTGGATGTTGACTTTGTATCCAGCAACGTTTCCAATAGGTCTACTAGTTTTTTGGTGAAGTTTTTTTTAGGATTTTGTATATATAATATCATATGATCTACAAATAATGGCAGTTTTACTTCCTCCCTTCTAATTGGGATGCCTTTTATTTCTTCTTCTTATCTGATTGCTAAGGCCAGAACTTCTAGTACTATGTTGAATAAGTGTGGTGAAAGCAGACATCCCTGTCTTATTCCTGATCTTAAAGGAAACTCTGAGTTTTAGCCCACTGGGTATGATGTTGGCTGTAGGTTTATCATATATGGCCTTTATTATGTTGAGGCGTGATCCTTTTATTTCCACTTTTCTGAGAATTCTTATTATAAATGGGTGCTGGACTTTATCAAATTTTTTTTGCATCTGTTGGTATGATCACATGATTTTTATCTTTCAGTTTATGTGATATATCACATTTACTGATTTGCAAATACTGTACCAACCTTGCATCCCCAAAATAAATCCTACTTAGTCATGGTGTATGATTTTTTTTAATGTACTGCTAAATCTAATTTGCTAATATTTTGTTGAGAATTTTAACATCTATGTTCATCATGGCTACAGGCCTATAATTTTGTTTCTTTGTTGTGCCTTTGTCTGCTTTTTTTTTTTTTCTATCCTCACCCGAGGACATTCTTCCATTTTTTGTTCAGGTAGAGTGGGAGGGAGAGAGAGGAACATCGATGTGAAAGGAACACATCGAGTGGCTGCCACCCGCACAACCGACCAGGGCCGGGGACAAACTGCAACCGAGGTACGCGCCCTTAGCGGGAACCGAACCCGGGTCTCTCAGGACCGCAGGCCGACGCTCTAACCGCTGAGCCAAACCAGCCAGGGCTGTCTGCTTTTGATATTAGAATAATGTTGGCCTCACTAAAAGAGCTTAGAATTCTTCCTTCCTCTTTACTTTTTTGGAACAGTTTGAGGAGGTGTTAGTTATTGTTTGAATGTTGGTAAAATTCTCCTGTGAAGCCATCTGGTGTAGAGCTTTTGTTTGCTAGGAGGTTTTTGGTTACTGTTTCAGTTTCATGAGTGGTTACCCATCTATCAGGTTTTCTGATTTTCATCTGATTCAGTTTTGGAAGGTGGTATGTTTCCAGGAATTTGTCCATTTCTACCAGGTTGTCTATTTCGTTGGCATATTGTTGTTTGTAATAGTTTCTCACAATCATTTGCATTTCTGTGTGTCAGTTGTGACCTCTCGTCTTTCATTTCTACTTTTATTCATTTGGGTCCTCTATCTTTGTTTCTTGATGAGTCTGGGTAACGGTTCATCAATCTCGTTTATCCTTTCAAAGAATCAACTCTTGGTTCCACTGATCTTTTGTAATTTTTTTAAGTCTCCAGGTTATTTATTTCCACTCTGATCTTTATTATTTTCTTCCCTCTACTTATTCTGAAATTTTCTTGTTCTTTTTCTAGTTCATTTAGTTGTAGAAATAGACTGTTTATTTGAGCTGTTTCTCGGGGTGGCCTGTGATGCTACAACCTTCCCTCTCAGGGCTGCTTTTGCTGTGCTATATAGATTTTGTGTTGTATGTCCATCTTCATTTGTTTTCAGAAAGCTTTTATTTCTTCCTTAATCTCATTGGTAATCCATTCACTGTTTAATTCCATGCTATTTAGCCTCCGTGTGTTTGAATGCTTTTGAGTTGTTTTTTTATTGTAGATGATTTCTAGTTTCATGTCACTGTGATCTAAGAAGATGTTTGATATGATTTCAATATTCTTGAATTACTTAAGGCTCATTTTGTGTCCTAACATACAGTCTACCTTTGAGTAATCGATGTGTACTTGAAAGGAATGTATATTCTGCTGCTTTTGGATGAAATGTTCTGTAAATATCAACTACATCCAACTGATCTAGTGGGTAATTTAAGGCCACCGTTTCCTTGTTGATTGTTTGCAAGAGCTATCCAGTGATGTCAGTGGGGTGTTCAAGTTCCCTACTATGACTGCTCTGCTTTCTATCTCTCCCTTAAAGTCCATCAAGGGTTTTTAAAATTTTTTTTTTACATATTTAGGTACTTCTATATTGGGTGCATATATGTTAACAGGGTTATAGTTTCTTGTTGGATTGACCTCTTCAGTCTTCTGTAGTGACCTTCATTGTCTCTTGTTATGGCCTTCATTCTGAAGTCTATTTTGTCAGATATGAGTATTTCTACCCCAACCTTTTCTCTGTTTCCATTTGTATGAAATATCTTTTTTCAATCCCTTCACTTTCAGCCTGTGTGTACGCTTTGTTCGGAGATGGGTCTCTTGTAGACAGAATATATATAGATTGTGTTTTCTTATCCATTCACTACCTTATATATTTTTATTATAGCATTTATTTCATTTACATTTACAGTTATTATTGATAAGTATTTATTGCCATTATTTTTTATGCCTATGTTCCCCTCTCTCTTTCTCTCTCCTTCTCCTTCTTAAAGCAGTCCTTTTAGCATTTACTGCAATGCTGGTTTGGGAGTAATGAGCTCCTTTAACCTTCTGTATGAAAAGCTGTTTAGTTCACCTTCAACTTCAAATGACAGCCTTGCTAGATAGAGCAATCATGGTTGCACATTCTTGCTTTTCATTACTTTGAATACTTCACACCAGTCCTATCTGGCTTGCAGTATTTCTGTTGAGAAGTCAGCTTAAAGCCTTATGGGAACTACCTTGTAGATGACTGACCATTTCTCTCTTGTTGCCTTTAAGATTCTCCATTTTCTTTAGTCTTGGCCTTTTTAACTATGATGTATCTTGGTGTGGGCCCATTTTGGTTCATCTTCATTGGGACTCTGTGCTTCCTGAACTTGTGTGATATTTTCCTTCACCAGGCTAGAGAAGTTTTCTGTCATTATTTCTTCAAACAGGTTCTCGATCCCTTGTTGGCTTTCTTCTCCTTCTGATACCCCTATGAAGCAGATGTTGTTACATTTCATATTGTCCCACAGTTCCCTTAAACTATCCTGTTTTTTAATTATTTTGTCCTTTTTTTCTGTACAGTTAAAGTGATTTTTAAAAATTTTGTTTTCTAATTAATTGATTCAATGCTCTACCTCGTCCAGCCTACTGGCATTTCTTCCAGTGTATTCTCTATTTCAGATATGGCATTCTTCATTTCCAACTGATTATTTTTCATGGTTTCTATATTCTTCTTCATGCTGTTGTTGTTCCACTATGTTCCTTGAGCATCCTTATAACTTGAGAATTACTTTGAACTCTCTGAGAAATTGCTTGCTTCCATTTCATTTAGCTCTTTTTCTGGAGTTTACTCCCATTCTTTTATTTGGGGCCTGTTTCTTTGTCTCCTCATTTTGGCCATCTCTTTGTGCTTGTTTCTATGTTTTAGATAGCACTGCTATGACTCCCAGTCCTGGTGGGGTTGCCTCTGTAGAGGTGTCTTATGGCTCCCAGTGGTGCACTCTCCTTGATCTCCTGAGCTGGATGCTCTAAGAATGTCCCTTGTGTGGGGTGTCTGGACCCTCCCGTTGTAATTGGGTCTTGATTGCTGATGGCCCTTTGTGATTGGGACTGACCCTCAGGCTGGCTATGAAGCTCAAACCCAACCATGGTGTGCAAACTGCTGTGCAGGTGCGTCTCAAGGTGTCTTGATTGGCTCAGTGACACAATTGTTAACTCTCCAGGTTGGGTGTCTATAGCGATGAACCTTTATCACCATGTATGAGACACTGTGCAGGGGCTTCCCCCTACGACAGGGTTGGTTCCCAGCAGGGTCTGGAGCCTGCTGGGATCCACCTTTGGGTGTGACTCAAGCTCTGGTGTAGAAAAAGGCCCACCACTGGTTATGCTGGTTCTGGGTCCTTTTGGATGGGTTTCAGATGTAGGTCACTGCTAGACGTTGTGTGTAACTGGTATACCTGTGTCTTCATGGGAGAGACCATTCTGTGCAAATTGATTGGTTTCTTTTGGCTTAGGGCTGGGGGCAGATCTGTAGTCACACTAAGGCTCCCTAAGGTCTGCCTCCACCTGTCAGCTACTCTGCATGCCCCCCTTAAAGTTGCTTGGTCTTCCTCCAGAGCCCTCCAAAGAATCTGCAGGATGGACCCAGGCTGGCTTGGCTCAGGTTAGCGGACATGCTGCTTGTAGGTTACACAGCCAGACACTCTGTGAGTCGAAGTTAGTCTCTGCTTCAAAGCCAAACTCCCCAGTCTCCATCAGAAACTCCAACTCCAGTCCCCCTTAAGGGGGCCTGCTGTAAGTTCAGGGTGCATACAGCCTGCAGTCTTCTCTGCAGGAATGGTTTCAGCTGCTCTGGGCTCAGGATTGAGCAAGAGTCTCTGGTTGAACATGTTGTTGACCCAGCAGGAGGGAGCTAAGCACTTCCTCCTGGTCCCAGAACATAGCCCCTGAGGGTCTCACATCGGAATGTCCTGCTCTGAGCCGCTCTCCCAACCTGCACAGAACTGTTTCCAGCAGGGGTATTCGGGAATTTACAGAGTTGAAACAAACAATCTTGTTGGAGATGGTGTTTGCAGGCTGCAGGAGCGGAAGATGGGCTCTACCTCTCATTCCTGGGCCTGCCTAGTGGAATTCACAGGGAGCTCGGATAAGGCTTCCCACAGTGCATTCACAGAGCCCAGCACTGGTCCGTCTGTCTCCCTCATAGAAGCCTTCCTGGGGGATATGGTCCAAAAATGCCAGCCCTGCATGCCACCAGTGCCCTTGTGCCACCAGTCCAAGCAGGAGGGGTTGGAAAATCAGCCCTGCACAGAACTCTGATCTCTCTGTGCAGCTGTCTCAGCAAACCTCAGCAAACAAAAAATTCTTCTGTCAAAATTTAATTTCTCATTAAAACCTTTACCCTATCTAATCATAATATTCCTATCACCATCTTTAAAAAAAAAATCCTGTCTGGCTGGTGTAGCTCAGTGGTTGAGCATTGATCCGTACATCAAGAAGTCACCGGTTTGATTCCTGGTCAGGATACACGCCAAGGTTGTGGGCTCAATCCCCAGGGGGGGCACGCAGGACACAGCCATTCAATGTTCTCTCTCATCAATGTTTCTATCTCTCTCTCCCTCTCACTTCCTCTCTCTCTAAAATCAATAAAGAAAAAAAAAAATCCTTATATTTTCTTTGCATGAGAACCTGAGTCATTAGGCCTAAGCCTCAAAAGATGGCCAGGATGGTGGCTTAGACCAGAAGCCTTCCTTTTTTTTTTTTACTACAACTTTCAGTAATGCAGGAATTTTAAATGGTTAAATATAATATGTGGGTGTGTGTCTATGTATATATGTGTACATACACACACATACACATGTGTAAACAAAAGTCACTTCTACATGGAAAGCATTCTTATTTCCTATTCTTTTTTTTTAATCCTCACCTGAGGATATTTTTCCATTTATCTTCAGATAAGAGTGGGAAGGAGGGAGAGAGAGAAACATCGAACTGAGAGAGACACGTCGACTGGTTGCCTCCTATACAACCCTGACCAGGGCTGGGGACAAACCACAACCTAGGTACGTGCCCTTGACTGAAATCAAACCCGCAATTCTTGGTCTGCGGACTGACACTCTAACCACGGAGCCAAGCTGGCCAGGGCGCTATTCTGTTTTTTATGCTAGTCCCAACCAACTAAACTGATGTCATGAACCACAGTTTTAAAAACACAGATTTAGACTACAGTCCTCATTACTTTGAAAAAGAGTGATCTATTTGCAAGTCATTATTCCTGTCACTGCTTACAAAGTATTACTGAGTAACACTGAACTCAGCTTTTGAGTCTTCATTTGACTATGAAGCCACATCATATTCAACTTAAAATATATTACCTTTTAACAAATATCTATGTTTATCTGGAAATTTCTGGGTTAATCAAGAAAGTTACTATACACAGGCTATTAACTGAAGTCTACCTAACAGAACTAAGTCTTTTCCTCTCTGTAATGCCCAAGTGCCCCATGTTTCAAGACTGAGTCACTGTGACCACAAATGGAATTTAACATGCTCTTAAAGATGAGAACAGTTGGCCTCTACGTTCAGTAAGAAAGAACTAGCATCATGAACTTTTCTATCCTCAAACGAGATGCCTACTGGGAAATTCCGTCTCCTCTAAAGAAACACTTGGCAATGGGTGTCCAAGGAGATAAGTGAACTCTGGAATTAAAGCTCATATACAACAGTGTCCAGAATACTGCTCATCAAACTGCTACATTAAAGACGGCAATGACGAAAAGATTATCAGCAATAAGAGAACACCTTTAACTCATGTAACTTAAAATTAAAGCTAGCAGGAAGCTGTAAAGAATACAGTGAGATAAAGAGGTAGAACACTTACGTCTGCGTTGTCACTACTGGGCCAAGAACCCTCTCCACTGCTATAGTCAGCTCTGCCCAGTCCATCAGCAGCATCTGCTTCCATCTCACTGATCGGTGGTGTGTCACCCAAAGGCTTGGAGGGTGTAATCACAGCCCCATCCTAAAACAGATGCAAGCGCACACACACACACACAGAACAGACTTTCATTACAGACTGCATAAAGAAACAGAGTTGCACTACAGTCTAGAGAAGACGGCTAAAATGTGGCCAGTGTGATGTGATCAGGAATGGTTCAAATCTACAACTCACAAACACAAACAACTACTAATTCTCTGGCAGTAAAACGGCTATGACCAGACAGTTCAATAAGGAGGGAAAAAGTCTGAACTTCCAAACAGAACACAAAGATAAATAGTTTGTTAAATTATATTATTTCTATTTCCTGCCCATTAGTAAAGATCATTGGACTATAACATCTGGTTCACTGCCCTCCGACACTTCGGAATTTCAGTGCATCATGAGCACTGGGACGCAGTGCTGCAAGGTAAGACCAGGAACCACATTTCTACTGTTCAAGCAGAGTAAGACTGTTGTCTGTGCTCAGTAATAACAACATAAAACTGTCAACATTACTGAAGCGTAATTCTCAAAACTTCATATAGTTACTGGAACTAAAAATGATGAAGAAATAAATAACATGTAACAGAAAGTACACTAAACCAGCAAGTCCTTATAACTGTGACCCTGTATAAGTAATTTAGCCAGATTAGACCCTAGTTCTCACAACCACAGTATGACTTTTCAATTAGGCCAGATGAGTCTGGCTTTCACTGGCAGACCTGACTGAGGAAGCAGAGCAGATCAACAGCTTTTAGTAACTGTTACGTGGTACAGGCAATTTATCCACTTTGCTTTAAAATGAAGTAAAAAGAGCTTTTCATATTCCAAATATGAATATTATAGAATATAAATCTGGTTGAGATATAAATGCTAAGCTATTTTTTCTAATGACACCATCATCTCCTACCTATGTAGCAAATTCTGTTGAAATCTATTTTAAAATTACAATAAAAATATAGTCATTAAGAATGTGAATGTGCTTTGAATTCAAGAGACTGGGCTTAAATCCCAGTTGCATTGCTTTTGAACTACGTGATCTCGGCAAACTACTGAATCTCTGAGCTTCTTTAGTGAATCTGTAAAATGGGGAAAGAACAGCATCCAACCTCAGAGGGCTGCTGTGCAGATTAAGGAAATCTTGCCAAGTACTTAGTACCAATGCAGGTCAATTTGTAAAACCTTATATCCAGACTAAAACATAATTGCACAAGGAACCTCAAAAGTATAAATACATGTATCTAAATACATTTCTAGTAATTTGTCACATCACAGCAAAAGCACTCTTAAAAGTACTGTGGAAAAAAGAAACATTAAACCATGAGTAGGGCAATATATAAGGAAAGCCTACATTTCTTTTCATTAATCATTATTTCTGTAATGTGCTCACAGGACCGACCTCCTGCTGGAAAAATAACTTTTATTTATTTATTTTTTGGTACGTGCCCCCAGTGGGAACCAAACCCTGGTCTCTCTGGTCAAAAGAAATAACTTTCAAATAGGCGACTGCACTTCCCCTGACAGCTCAGCGCGGAGCGAGCAGCGCTCCTGCGTCCGGTGCTACCTGCGCGGCGCCGGTGGCTCTGCACAGCTGCTCCTGCAGCTGGGGGATGTGCTTCCGGGCCGCCTGGATCTCTCTGAGCAGCCTCGGAGCAGGTGTTCGGCTATAATCCTCCTGCAGTATCTGAAAGTTGTAAAGCATGTTGATAATTAATTACTTATGTCAAGAAAATACCGAAGCCTCTTCTTACTCAAACAGCTCACGGCACTAACGCGATACGGCTGACGGTCCCGAGAAGCGCCCACGCGCATTCTAACTGGCCTGCGACCACCCTTTCCTAACTCAGTACCTGCAGTCGTTCTTGCTCTTTCTGCAGCATTTTCTTCAGAATTTCTACTTTCTGGTTATGAACCACATTGTTTTCCTCCTAGAAAAAAGATAAAAAACAACAAACAAAAAAGAACCAATATAGGGAAAGTGAAGCTAAAATAAATAAACGGAAACAAGACATATGATGGCATGCCCTAGCTCTGATTTTCAACACCTGTTGAGATTTTCTTTCTTTCCACACTTATGAGGACGTTTGGACATGACACTAAAGATAAAAGACTACAGGGAAATTTCAGCCCTTTTCACTTTTACTAAACTTGGTTTAAGAAAACATCAAACACTGACATTAGTTGGAAAAATGAAGTTGGCTCAAATATAAGAACAATGCTCAATTAGTTTCCTTTTAGACCTTTACTCTCAACCCCGCATGAGCAAACTCCCAGCTCCCCAGCTCCCCTCACACCATCTCTCCTGGCTCCATGAACCTTCCCTTTCTCCAGTCAGCCTTCCTAGACCCCTGACAGCCTCGTCACTCTCTCGCTCAAAAGAAATGTTGATGGCTCTCACTGTCTATCTAATGTAAATAGCCCGGTAGTTGTGATTTTTAAAAGTAAACAGTCTTCCTTTGTTCCAGCTCATCTCCCAACACATAAGCCCTGAACAGGCACCAGCCAAAGAAGAGTCCGTGCTCCTTCCCCAAGTACCTGATGCTCCCCTGACTGTCCTCCGCTCCTCCCCCCAGGCCTATCACCTGCTCTCCAGGCTCACTTAGAGAGGCTGCAATGCAGCTCCCTCCTCATCACAGCTGGTGCGCTTTCCCTCCTCGAATCCCCTCCTGTCACAGTCCGCCTTTGCACTGTCATTACTCGTACACTTTTGCTTCAATCTCAAACAACAAAGGTATATTAAGCAGCTACTATATGCCAAGCACTGGGTACTTTTCTTCAGGTACTAGGAACTTAACAATAAACAAAACAAACAAACCAACAAACAAACCCCATGTCCTTTCAAAGTATATATTCTTAAATAAAAGAACCTTGAATATAGACTGTCTTGCATATTTTTGTGAGTGGCAAGCTGTTTTATGTATAGTAGGTACTGTACTTAGTATCTGTTGAGTTAAATCTCCTATCCCAATACTCAGTAATTATTCCAGACTACAGCTGACTCTTGAATACATGGGAGTCAGGGCTTCCAACCCCCTGCAGTTGAAAATCTGCATGTAACTTCTGACTCCCCCAACACTTAACTATACTAATAGCCTATTACTTGAAAAAAATTTTTTTCCGTTTATTGATTTTAGAGAGAGAGGAAGGGAGAGGGAGAGAGAGATAGAAACATCGATGAGAGAGAACACTGACTGGCTGCCTCCTGCATGCCCCCCCCACTGGGAATCGGCCCATAACCTGACTGGGAATCAAACCAGTGACCTCTTGGTACAGGGGCTAACACTCAACCACTGAGCCATACCAGTCAGACCAATAGCCTATTACTGACTGGAAACTGTACCAGTAACATAAATAGCCGCTTAATATATTTTGAATGTTACATATATTAAATACTGAATTCTTACAATAAAGGAAGCTAGAAAAAAGAAAATGTTAAGAAAATCGTAAGGGCCCTGGACAATGTGGCTCAGGGGATAAAGCGTCAGCCCACACACTGTAGGGTTGTGGTTTTGATTATCTGTCAAGGGCATGTACCTGGGTTGCAGGTTCAATCCCCAGCCCCGTTGGAGTATGTGCCGGAGGCAACCAATTGATGTGTCTTCTCTCACATCAATGTTTCTCTCTCTCTCTCCCCCTCCCTCGCTCTCCTTCCCTCCTTCCTTTCTACTCTCTCTAAACATCAATAAAAAAATATATATCCTCAGGTGAGGATTAATAACAACAGCAAAGAAAATCATATGGAAGAGAAAACAGATTTATAGTGCTGTATTTATTGAAAGAAAAAAATCTGTGTATAAGTGGACCCACACGATTCAAATGCATGTTGTTCAAGGGTCAACTGTGTCATGTAATTATTATATTAGAAATTATTTCCCAGAAGCTTGAACTTAAATCCATCAGTTCAACACTTCAAAGCTCTGAACACAGAGCGAGGGCACCAGGCAGCCGGGCTCTCCCCTCTCACCCCCATGAGCACAGGGCTCGTGATCCTCTCCACGTTCCCAGTCGCGCCGGGCGAGCGAGGGGACGTCACGATGGGAGACATGAGTCCGATGGCTGGCGGCTCCCCTTCAGGGTCAGCGAGGGGGATCTGGGGCAGCCCAGGTGGTCGTCCCTGAACAGTGAGCGCTACATAGGAGCCAGCTGGGGAGGGGGACACGGAAGGGGAGGGAAGAAGAAGTAACATTGTAAGAAAACGGTCACAGCATTTCACGTGGTCTTGGACACACCAAGAACCCAGTCACACGAGAAAGCTTCATCATCTAACCACTTACCTGCATAAAAAGAACCTAATTTGTCTTTTATATGACTCCTCTGATAATCTAAAAGAACAATGTCATTTTCAAATACAAATTATTACGCATAATAGTACTAAAAGCAAATGAAATGTATAACCCCAATTTTTAATTAGAGAAGAGGGAATTAATCACCATCTAATGACTGTATTTAATTTCTTAAATGCAAATTTAAAATTCATATGTAAAATAATTAAGTAGTGCTTATCTAATTCCTTCAAATATAATGATGCAAGTTTAAATTAGCATTACAAAATAAAATTGACAAAACATATCCCACAAAAACTGGGAAATAAAACTCAATAAATAGTGACTTTTAATTTTATTATTATTATGTTCAGATAGAATGGGAGGGAGAGGAGGAGAGAGAGAGAGAAAAAAACATCAACATGAAAGGGACACGATGCCACCTGCATGACCCAACCCGGGCAGGGGACAAACTGCAACCGAGGTATGTGCCCTTAGTGCCCTTAGCGAGAACCAAACCCGGGTCTCTCTGGACTGCAGGCCGACTCTCTAACCTCTGAGGCAAACCAGCCAGGGTTTGAGTTTTAATTTTAAAAATTCAGAGAAGACAGAGGGCAAGATGGCTGCAGGGTGGCAGGAGACTGAGTGCCCTCGCTGCAGCCGCGGATCCACAGCTAACACTGCGCGGTCAGCTCGAAAGCACAAGAAATTGTCGCCAACGGGACCTATTTTCTCCAAGGAGCACTGAAGAAACAGCATAGAGACTGAGAAGAGGGGGAGTTGTGAAAAGGGGGAGCCCCCACAGATGGAGCCGGTGCTCAGCTGAGAGGCTCCCTCCCTGTGGGAGTGTGGGCTCCCCTCCCTGGGCGGGGACCTCCAAGAAGGAGAGCCCACACAGCACAGGGATCCAGGGGAACGCTGTCAACCAGGGAGGCTGCGTCTGTACCAGGGGAAGAGGGAGCCCACAGCGCTTGCTGATGGGTTGGATATGAAATGATTTGTGAGAGAGGCGTCAAGGACGCTGGGCACCTCTCAGCCTGGGCACCTGCAGCTTTGAAAAGACATGGTGGAGATGGTGGGGTGGGGCAGAGGAGTAGTCTGCTTGAAGCCTGTTGAGGCTGAGATGCCCACATGAAGATGGGACAGGGCTGGACACAGGAGTCCAGACTGAGTGGGAGGGCAGCACGCAGTGCGCACTGTGGGCAGCCCGTGGGAGAGTCGCCCCTCACCCCCGCCCCGGGTCTGACCGCTGAAGGCTGCAGTGCGTGGCTCCTGGACAGAAGGGCGGAGGGCTGTGCCCAGCAGCAACTCTTGCTTCCTGAAAGGCGCTGAACAGAGCCCCAGAGAGCAGCCGGGTTGTGGGGCGTGGGGAAGGGGGAAAGGATTCTCCCACCTCAAGTGCGTGGCTGGGACCCCTCACCCCACCCGAGAACTTGCAGGGACTGGCCGGTCCTGTGGAGTCTAACCCACACTGAGGAGTGGTGAAGCATGAGCAGAGCGGGGATTCTTGGACCCCACTTCACTGACAGGAGCCCTGCGGACACGAGCCCGCAAGGAGCTGGCTTTGTAACCCCTTCTTCTTGGACCTGTGTAGCAGGGCACCAGGTCCTTGCAGAGCAGGGACTGTTTTGGACAGCACCCCCTGGGAAGGGCTATCCTGGGGAGACAGGCGAGCAGGAGCTGGGCTTTGGACCACAATGTGAGGGCGGGTCCCCGCTCCTGAGTTCATCCAGGCAGTCTGGGAAGGAGGTGGAGCTGTCACCAGCTCCTGTAGGGGGGATCACCCCCTCCACCAGGACAGTGTGGATCAGCTCTCTGAAGCCTGGCACCACCTCTGAGTGCAGTGCAGTGGGGTCGGGAGAAGAGCTGAGGAGGACATTCCAAGAGTCAGACCCTCAGAGGGTGTTGTCTGGGACCAGAAGGAAGTGCTTAGCCCCCCACCCCCCCAGGGCTGGGAAGGCAACACATTCACCAGAGTCTCTTGTGATCAATCCCACTGAGCCCTGAGCAGCTGAAATTCTCCTGCAGAGAAGGCGGCAGGCGGCATCCACCCTGAACCTGCACCAGGCACCTTACGGGGACGAGTGCGGAGCATGTGCCAGAGACTAGAGTTTGGCTTGAAAGCAGAGATTAATTTCCCCTCACTGAGTGCCCCTGACGCGTAATCTCTAAGGAGGGGTCCCAGGAGCCCCAGCTGCGCCAGCCTGGCTCCACCCTGAAGACTGCCTTCAGAAGCCCCTGGGGGGAGACCAGGCAACCTGCGGGGAGGCGGAGCAGCTGACGGGCAGAGGTGGTCCGCAGACGAGCACAGATAGAACAGGGCGCCCAGAGCCAAACTTGGACAGCGCCTGACGTTGGCTGACACCTCCCAGGAGCCTGCATTCATCATGCAAAATAGAACTTGGGACCAGAGAAGCTGGCAGGACACTTCTCTTGGCTGGGTTTTATTTTGTTGTTGTTGTTTGTTCTTTCTTTCAATATTTCTTTACTTTTCCTTCGTCAATGCTTGGCATTACCACTGTGGTGGACAGCTCTGCCCTCTCTCATCTTTCACATCTAACGGCCTCCTTCCTCTTCCTACTGGTCTTCATTCCTGCCTTCACTTTCCCTCTCTCTCTTGCGTTTACCTTCACAGACCTTTCTGTCTTTCTTTCTTTCTCTGTCGTCTTGTCTGGTTTGTTGTTGTTAATTCTCACTCAAGGATGCTTTTTCAACTGATGTTTAGGGAGAATGGACATTTTTAGGGAAAGAGGGAGAGAAACACATCGATTGGCTGCCTGCTGCACAGACCCTGACTGGGGCTGAGGCTCGAGCCTGCAACTCAAGTCTGTTCCCTCGACCAGGTCCTCCGAGCCACCTTTCCTCCCCTTACTCTCCACCCCGATGTCTGCTCTCCCTTCTGACCTGTCAGAACGTGTTTCTGCCCCTTTCTCTGCTGGTCTTCTCTTTATTTCTTGTTTTCCGATAAGTAATATTATCTTTTTCTCCCTTTCTTGTTTATTATTCTTGTTCTCTTTCCTAATTCTCTTCTCTTTTGTGGTTGTTTCTACTGTTGTCAGGATTTTTTAAAAATATGTTTTTATTAATTTTTTTAGAGAGAGAAGAAGGGAGACAGAGATAGAAAAATCGATGTGAGAGGGAAACACTGGTTGGCTGCCTCCTGCACGCCCCCTACTGGGCATCGCGCCCACAACCCAGGCACGGGCCCTGACTGGGAATGGAACTGGGACCCCTCAGACTGGACAACTTCAATGGACTGAGCCACACCAGCAGGCATGTTGGGGTGTTTTGTGTGTTCCTGTTTGTTTACCTCTGTCAGCACCTGAACAACAGCTCACACGAGGTTGTGTCTGAGCCTTGGTGAGGATCCTGAGAGGAGCCCGCCCAGGAGAGGACAACAATCGAGACCCAGCTACAACAGGAGGCCCATGCAGACCACAAAGGGTTACTCCCAAAGCATACAGCTCAGCAGTGCAAGACCACACACAGGGCCCCACAGGGCATTTCCCACAACACCCCACCCCACAAAGACTGGGAGTCACAGCAAGCATATCTAATACACTGATACAAACACAAAGATATAACTAAAATGGGGAGACAAAGAAACAACACCCAAATTAAAGACAAAGAGGAAGTGGCAGAAAAAGAATTAAATGAGATGCAAGTAAGCAAGTTATCAGACACAGAATTCAGAGTAATAGTTACAAAGTTGCTTAAGGACACCAGCATGAAGCCAGAAATTATAAATAAGAACCAGGAAGAAATGAAGAATACTGTATCTGACATCAAGAACATGCTAGAAGGAATTAAAAGCAGGCTCCATGAAACAGAGAATCAAATAAGTGAATTAAAAAACAAGGCAGGAAAAAAAAACAACTCAGTCAGGAACAACAAAAAAATACCTAAAAAGCATGAGGACAGTTTAAGGAAACTTTGGGACAACATGAAACAGAACAACATCCACATCATAGGGCCACCAGAGGGAGAAGAAAATGAACAAGGGATAGAGAACCTGTTTGAAGAAATAATGACAGAAAACTTCCTAAACTGGTCAAGGAAAAAGCCACACAACTTCAAGAAACACAGAGGTACAAATCAAAATGAACCCAAAGAGACCCACTCTGAGATACATCATACTTAAAGTGGCAAACGTTAAAGACAATGAGAAAATCTTAAGGGCAGAAAGGGAGATAGTCAGTGACCTACAAGGGAGCTCGATAAGGCTGTGAGCTGATTTCTCAACAGAAACACTACAGGCTAGAAGAGAATGACATGAAGCATTCAAAGTAATAAAAAGGAAAGATGTAAAACCAAGACTACTCTATCCAGCTAGGCTTTCATTCAAAATTGAAGGTGAAGTAAAGACATTTCCAGACAAAGAAAGGCTAAAGGATCTTACTGTCACCAGCATGTACTGCTAGGAGTGTTAAAGAAACTGCTGTAAGAAGAAGAAAGACTAAGAGGAATATAGCCATAAAGAATAAAATAGCAATAAATAAGTACCTATTAATAATAACATTGAATGTAAATGAATTAAATGCTCCAATATAGGGTACCTGAATGGATTAAAAAACATGACCCATATATAAACTGTCAAAAAGAGACCAAACTCAGAACAAAAGACTCACACAGAATGGAAAGTGAGGGGATGAAAAAAAATTCCCACGCACATGGAAATGAAAAAGAAAGAAGGGGTAGCAATACTTGTATCTGACAAAATAGAATCCAAAGCAAAGGATAGAACAAGAGACAAAGAAAGCCACCACATAATATTAAAAGGACTGAGGATTAACCGTGGTAAACACATATGCACCCAATTAGAGGAGCAAACAAATGTATACAAGAGCTCTTGGAGAACTTACAGGGAGAGGCTGACAGCAATACAGTCATAATAGGGGCCTTGACCACCCCACTGACAACACTGGATAGATCTTCCAGACAAAAAAATTAACAAGGAAATAGCAACCTTAGACCACAAACTAGATGAGATGGATTTAACTGACATTAACAGAACATTTCACACAAAATCTGCAGAATATACATTATTCTCAAGTAGACACAGGACATTCTCAAAGACAGACGTCATGTTAGGACACAAAGTAATTCTCTACAGGTTCAAGAAGACTGAAGTCATATAAAATACCTTCTTTAGTGACAATGACATGAAACTAGAAATCAACTACAATAAAAACATTTAAAAACATGGAGGCTAACTAGCATATTTTTAAACAAAGAATGGGTTACCAATGAGATCAAGGAGAAAATTAAAAACTCCCTGGAAACTAACAAATATATACACAAAACAACCCAACATCTACGGACACAGCGTAGGCAGTCCTGAGAGAGAAGCCCACAGCACTGCAGGCCTCAAGATCAAGGACAATCTCCAATGAACTATCTAAACCCACAGCTAAAAGAATTAAAAGGAGAACAACAACAAAATCCCAGAGTAAGCAGAAGGAAGGAAATAATCAGGACAGGAGTGGAAATAAATGAAATACAGACTGAAAAAAAAAAAAAAATACAAAAGATCAATGAAACTAAGAGCTGGTTCTTTGAAAAGATAAATAAGACTGATGAAACTTTAGCCAGACTCATCAAGAAATAAAGAGAGAGGACACAAATAAATAAAATCAGAAATGAAAGAACTGAAGTAAAAACTAACACCATAATAATACAAAGGATTGTAAGGAAATACTATGAACCAACAAACTGGACAACCTGGGCGAACTGAACAAATTCCTAGAAACATACATTCTTCTGAAACTCAGAAAGAATCAGAAAACCTAAATAGTCCAATAACAACTAATGAAATTGAAGCAGGAATTTTAAAAAAAAAATGCCAGCAAACAGAAGTCCCAGACTGAATGACTTCACAGGGGAGTTTTACCAAACATTCGAAGGAGAACTAGCACCTATCCTCCTCAAACTATTTCAAAAAACCCAAGAGGAAGGAAGACTTCCAAGCTCTTTTTACGAGGCCAGTATAATCCTAATTCCAAAACCAGATAATGACATCACAAAGAAAGATCATTACGGGCATATTCCTGATGAACACAGATGCTAAAATCAACAAAGTATTAGTAAATGGGATCCAGCAACACATTAAGATCATACAAAATGACCAAGTGGAGCCCTGGCCGGTTTAGCTCAGCGGCTAGAGCAGCAGCCTGTGGTCCAGAGAGACCTGGGTTCGGTTCCTGCTAAGGGCATGTACCTCGGTTGCAGTTTGTCCCCAGCCCTGGTTGGTTGTGCAGGTGGCAGCCACTGGATGTGTCCCTTTCACGTCGATGTTTCTCTCTCTCCCTCCCACTCTATCTGAACAACAAGGAAAAAAAAAAAGAGAAAATGTCCTCAGGTGAGGATAAAAAAAAAAAATGACCAAGGGGATGCAAGGCTGGGACAATATTCGCGAATCAATAAATGTGATTGATATATCACATTAATAAAATGAAGGATAAAAATCAAATGGCTATATCAATAGATACAGAAAAAGCATTAGACAAAATCTAGCACTCATTTTGGATACTGTCAGCAAAGTGGGAACAGAGGACTCATACCTCATGGTAATAAAGACCATTTATGAGAAACATAAACCAACATTATACTCAATGGACAAAAACTAAAAGCATTTCCCTTAGAACAGGAACAAGACAGGATGTCTGCTTTCACAACTCTTAATCAACACAGTACTGGAATTCTTAGCCACAGTGATCAGACAAGAAGAAAAAAAGGCATCAAAATTGCCAAGAAGGAAGTAAAATTGTCATTATTCGCAGATGACATGACACTGTACATGGAAACCCCTACAGAATCCACAAAAAAAAACTACGAGAGTATATAAATAAATTTGGAAAAGTAGCAGAATAAAAAACTGACATCCAGAAATCAATGGCATTTCTATACGCTAGTAAAAATCTCTCTGAAAGACAAACTAAAAAAAAAAATCCCTTTTGCCATTGCAACAAAAGAAATTAGATACCTAGGAATAAACTTAACCAAACTGTTAAAGACCTGTACTCAGAAAACTATGACATTGAAAAAAGAAATACAGAAAGACAAAAACAATTAGAAGGGCTGTGGAGGGGCGGGCAGAGATTAAGCAAAGAACTTATATGCATAACCCATGGATCCAGACCACAGTGTGGTGAAGGCCTGGTGTGGGACAGGGACTGGGTGCAGGGGGCAATGGGAGAAAAATGGGGGACATCTATAATACTCTCAACAATAAATACTTAAAATAAATAAATAAAAGTCTATTATGCCATTAAAAAATATTTGGAGAAGACAGAAAGCAAAATTAACCATAACCAGAAGGACTCAACGAAAGACATCCACTTATCCAGCATCAAGCAGAAAGGACTTTCCAAGTAAGTGATTTCTTTAGGTAACTGACTTTTCATCGACACAAGTCTTTCCATAGACTTTTCAGCTGAACTTTTAAATGCATTTCTCAATTTAATTCCACCAGGGAACTCACTGTCAGTTATTTCACCACCTTTAAAAGGAAAACCTTTTTCTTTTTATACTTAATGGTCACAAATGCTATGATTTGGGGGAACTTTAAGTATATACATTTTCTTAAGGTTTTTTAGTTCATCTAGGCCATTGTGTCCAATTTATTAATCTCTTCCCTCTCAGGTGGCTTAGACATTTCTTTCAAACATATGCTTTCAATATTACCAAGATGAAAAGGATATTGTAATCAACCACAAATACAAGTTGCAGAAGATCATTATTTAGTTAAGACTTTTCACCTCAGAACTTTCCTGTGATGCAGGAGTCTGGCTAAGGGGCTTAATCTAGCCCACAAACTGTTTTGACAAATAAAGTTTTATTGAAACACAGCCACACGCACTCATTTATACATTGTCTATAGCTGTTTTTGTGAGTCAAGTAGTAAACCATAGGCTCCACAAAGCCTAAAATATTTACTGTCTGGTCTATTATAGAAAATGTTTGCTGATCCTTGCTTCAGGGTTTCAGAAAACAATGAAAAAACAGTAACATTCACCTACATTTGATTAACTGTACCACCTCCAAATGGTTTGAATGAGTCACCAGAGTTCCATTCACCTGCAAGAAAATAAAAATAGTGTATGTCAGAAACATTCTATCAACATAATGGGTAAGCTGATTTTAGGAATTACTGTACACACTATAACGAATTATAATGTAGTACATAGGGCTATGTATATATTAAAATATGTACATATTTGATTCAATATTCACTTTTACCACTATTCTGTAAGGTGTACTCAGCAACAAAATGAACTTGAATGCACAACAAGGCCTGGATTTAGAAGGCATTACAGTGTAATCACCTCGACAGACGACGAAATACACCACACAACAGATTTACAAACCCTTCCCGGGGAGGGCTCTTGCAACAGAAACTCTCTCTCTGCTTTTAATGACAAATTCAGTAATTTGTCAAAATCAGAATGCATTTTTCAAAGATAAAAATCACAAATATTCCCAAAATAATATTCAACTTACTTTTAGTTTCCCAATTATGACCTAATTTTCAGAGAGGCTAAATGCAGGTAAAAATATCAAACATGGATCTAATATTAAAACTATTTTTTTCTCTGATACAAGTAATACTGATTTTTATAACTTCAAATACTTATCAGTGTATAAAACAGAAGTGAAAGTATATTTATCATGCCCACCAGAGACGATCACTGTCAACCATGATTAATCCTTGAGACACTACTGTAGCACATACATACCTCATACTTAGTTACATATTAATAAAGATTATAATTGCCTTTTTTCTGCAAAAAAAAAATAAATACTTTATATTGTATTATGGATATCTTTCATTATAGGTACACACATTCTTTTTAAAAGCTGCAGATATGCCCGGCCAGTGTGGCTCAGTGGATTGAGCATCGTCCAATGGATCGAGAGGTCCCAGTTCGATTCCTGGTCAGGGCACAGGCCAGGCTGCAGGCTTGATCCCCAGGAGGGGCGTGCAGGAGGCTGTCGATCACTGTTTCTCTCTCACATCGATGTTTCTCTCTCTCTTTCCCTTCCTCTCTCTTGAAATAAAAATCAATTAAAAAAACACATTTAAAAGCTTCAGATGAAATGTAATTTTTTTCTCTAGTTCTCAGTTTATTCATATTTAGGTTGTTTATAATTTTTCAGTATGATGAAGCTGAAATTTCCCTGGACACATATCATTTTACCTTTGACACTTATTTCCTTAGATATGTTCCTAAAGGCAAAATTGCTGGTCAAAGGTTATATAAAGTATACAGCTTTTGATACATATTCACAAATTTCGATCCAAACAGATTTGACCTCATTTATACTCATGACAAGCTTATGAGAATAGCCATTTTACCAAACCCAATCTACCTAGTACACACTATCAATCTTTACAATTTCTGATGATCAAGTATATTTTCACCTATCTTTATCAGCGAGGTTGGACATATTGTTATTAATATATTATTTACTTCAATTACTTTGGGGAATTGCCCACTTTTCTATTAGTTTATTCTTTTCTTAGTGACTGAAAAGTGCTCTTTACAATTAAGAATATACTCTTTTCAAATCTTTTTTCCAAATGGTTCTTTGTAATTATGTTCACGGTATCTTTTCCTGTACAGTAATTTTGTTTCAAGTAATCACATGAGTCAACTGTCTCGAGAGTAACTACTTACTAATCCAGTGTTTCCTACCGGTCAAAATCCAAGGCCTGCTCTGAACCCTCTCCTGCGTTCCACGGACAGGTTACATCCAGACTAGGGTCACTTGCTTTCATTAATCCACCCCATGTCACCTCACATAAACCTATATAATTAACACACTTTTTTCATTAGCTCTTCTTATACCTTTGTAAAGTTCACTTGAAAGAATAATCAGTTTGACAAGTAATATATGCCTCCCCAATTCTAACAGTATTATTTTGATGAGAATTACTTCCTAAAAAATGAATATGGAGAGACATGACTGTCACAACAGTGAGCTACCTTCTTCTATCCAGGAACATATATGACTCCATTTATTTAAGCCTTTTATCATGTCTTTCTGTATAGGGTAATATTAACTTTTAAAGCCCACCAATCCATCATATGTAATGTGTTCCTTTTTACAAAAATATCAAAATGAGAAAAAAAAACACCAAAATATGGCTAATAAATGCTGTTTTTTTAAATTCTACTAAAAATGCTGTAATAGTCTTTTTCTTTACCTTGATGATTCGATCACCTGTCTGTACCCCAGCCCGCATGGCTGCTCCATCTGTAAGAGAAATTAATTCCTTAAAATACCACTTATTTGCATTGATTGATAATCTTCTTGAAAGAGAGGCAGCATAACAAAGCACTCAAATCCATGGTTTTAAAGTCAGACAGACTGAAGTTCAAATGCTGCCGCTACCACTCACTAGTTATATGACCTTGGATTGATTTTGTGTATTTTTTTTACTCTAAGCCTCAGCATCACCTATAAAATGGGAATAGAAAGTTCTGACCTCAGATTACAGCACCCAGCATCAGGTATTCAACATACAGTGACAACAGTAAAAGGTATTCTTCTTGTTTTGGAAAAAGAATAGATATTTTTGAGCCTATAACATCTGCTTAATCTGTCTCTACCAAAATATCTCTGAAGAAATAATATTCCATAAACTTCTGTAAGTCATGATGCATAAAGTATCACGACCAAAGAGTCACATGTTGTCTAAAACTATCAAGTACAAAGAAAATCAACTGGAGGAAATGCAAACTGACACTGAAGACACGTAAGCACCATGGGCCACGTAACCTGCAATGTAGATGGTTATTTTATTCTGGGCCACAGATTTCATTTACACTTTTCTATTCTCGCTCAGTTTGCTCTCGAGTGACAAGACAGTTTTAAAAAATGTCTTGCCTTCTTTGACAGACTGTACGAAGACTGGATTGTCTCCACTAACCGTCAGCCCAAATCCATTGTCGTCCTTCTGAATGACCACACAGCGCTGAACAAGACCTGCACAGGGGCCACAAGACAGAGAAGGGACAGAAAAACAGAGAAAAGACAATCATTACACATGAGTGATGAACTGCATTCTTTCTAAAGAAATACAAGGTTGCACATGGAACCCACATATAGAATGAGAGCACTAACCCAGGGAACCAAACAAACATAAGAACATCACAAAGTCATATCACTGGCTTCCCAGAGGACAGGTGGACTGGTATTGCGCCAAGACTAAAAGCAGCTACGGCCAACTGGAAAAGATGAAGTACCGAGAGGAGACAGTTACAGAAAAGCCTGTTCGCATCTATGCCATTATCTGTGATATAAAATCCTCCCCTAGCACCCTGTATTTGGTGCTGTTATTGGTGTTTAATCCCACCCCACCCCCAAAAGTCAAAACATTTTGGGACGTTAGGCTAGAAGCAGTCGGTAAACTCTAGAGAAATCCAATCTCACTCTCAGACAAACAGACTATAGAAAGTAGATGCAGAGCACCTGCAACTCTTCTCCCGAAAAAGAAAAAGAAAAGAGTTCAAAGGGAAGACAGACCTTAGCTCAAAGAAAAAATAAACAGAAAGGAGAAAAAAGTAAAAAAGATCAAGAAAAGAATCTGTGAGCTCAACCAATTCTTTTCTCTCTTTCATATGTCGACCTGATTCCTATCTATAGGAGAATTTATTTTCCTTCTCGTTAAACAGCAAATGAAAACTGTCAAGGCAAAGTGAGCGAGGACCCCGTTCAAGGAGTAAGGACATCCATACAGAAGAACCCTGATTAATGCTCAGCTGTTTTATTATGGCTCAGATATGAAGACAATGAACTCTGTGTTGAACAAAGAGTTAACACATACTTTCAACTTTACAGAATCTAGTCCTTTCAACAAAAACCAATATATAGCCCTGGCCTGTATGGCTCAGCACCAGAGGTAGCCAGTTCGATTCCCAGTCAGGGCACATGCCAGGGTTTTGGGCTCGATCCCCACTAGGGGGGCTGCAGGAGGCAGCAGACTGATGCTTCTCTATCATGGATGTTTCTCTCTCCCTCTCCCTAAAGTCAATAAAAACATTTTAAAAAATCAATATATAAAATACATGTAAAATAACAAGAATAATAATGATTGGAAAATATTCTTCAAAATAAAGATTTTTATACAGAGCCATAATCTTTAACAAAAGGTATGTTAAAAATTGCATATTTTTAATATACATATAAATCTATATATATATATACATTTCTTGCTGTTAATAAAATGTCACAAGTATGTGAGGCTACTACAGATGAAAGACTAAAATAACTACATCCCAGCATGAAAAATATGAGCCTTAAATTTTGTTTGTTTGTTTGTTTTTTAATCCTCACCCGAGGATATTTTTCCATTTTTTGTACAGATAGAGTGGGAGGGAGAGAGAGGAAGGGAGAGAGAGAGAGAAACATCGATGTGAAGGGACACATCGAGTGGCTGCCACCCGCACGACCAACCAGGGCCGGGGACAAACTGCAACCGAGGTACGTGCCCTTAGCGGGAACCGAACCCGGGTCTCTCCGGACCGCAGGCCGACGTTCTAACCGCTGAGCCAAACTGGCCAGGGCTGAGCCTTAAATTTTAACTCATAACCCTATACAAAAATTAACTTAAAGCAGATCATGGACCAAAACATGAAGCTAAAATCTGTCATGAGAAAACACAGAAGAAAATCTTCAAGACCTTAGGGTAGGCAGAGATTATTTAGAATGGAAAATGTACCAACTATGAAAAAAAAAAAAAAAAAAGGTAAACTGATCTCAAAATTTAGAACATCTGTTCTTCTAAAAGACACTAAGAAAATTAAAAGACAAGACTCGGACTGGGAAAATATATTCACAAAACAATTATCTGATAAAAAACTTATATCCAATTTTTTTTCTTTTTTTAAAATTCTCACTGGAGAGTATTTTTTCATTTATTTTCAGACAGGGAGGGAGATCAACATGAGAGAGACACATCCACTGGCTGCCTCCTGCAGGACCCCAAACAGGGGTCAGGGGCTGAACTGCAACCAAGGTACGTGTCCTTGACCAGAATCGTACCCGTGACTCTGTGGTCCGTGAGTGACACTAACTGCTGAGCCAAACTGGCCAGGGCCAAATTATATCTCTGAAAAACAACTCTACAATTAAAAAATGGAGGACATTGCCCTGCTCGTGTGACTCAGTGGTTGAGCGTCGACCCTGCACCAAGAGGTTGGTTCCCAGTTCGATTCCCAGTCAGGGCACAGACCCAGGTTGTGGGTCGTTCTCTCTCATCGCTGTTTCTCTCTCTCCTTCCCCCTTCCTCTCTCTCTGAAATCAATAAAGGGAAAAAAATTTTAAAAAAACAAAACAAAAACTGAGCACACCAAGTGCGGGCTCGATGTGGAGAGCTGGATGCTCGTGGGTGCTGGGGGTGTGAAAGGCAGGCTCTGAAGGGCAGCCCAGAGACCTCAGAGAGCATGGATCTGCACATGACCCCGTCATTCCCAAGGGGAATGGAAACGCGTGTCCACACGAAAACTGCCTGACAAATGTCCATAGCAGTTTCTGTTCATAAAAGTCCAAACTAGAAAATAAAACAAGAACTAGTCAGACTTGCACAAACGTGCTGAGCAAGAGACGGCAGGTACAAAAGACCGTGAACGCCGCAGGGCGCAGCGTGAAGCAGGCAGAAGGCAGTGACCGTGCCCAGGCAGCGGCCGCCTAGGGGCAGGGCCGGGAGGGGACTGCAAAGGAGCACTGAGGGTCTGGGGGATGGGAAATCCTGTGTCTCACTTAGGTAATGGACACATGAGTACATCCGTCAACATTCACTGAACTGCACGCCTAAAATTGATGTAAATTTATTTTATGTAAATTGTACATCAAGAAAGCTGATTTTCAACATTAAAAAATGTGTTACCCCTCAACTCAAGAGACTACTAAGTACGAAACAGCGTCTGAATTCACCACTCTCGAAAAATAGTCAATTGTAATGAGGGCAGAGGAAAGCTATCCAATCAGAATTCAACCTTCTCCCTTTGTTTACTGTTGCTTCCTTTCAGTAACTAGGAAAAACTGTTAAAGGAATGAATGCAAATACATAAAATCAAGAAAAAGTGCATTCTTTATACATTTCTCATACAGAACACAACAGATAAAAACCGAGAACCTCACAACAGATCGAAAGAGCAGTGTTTTATAGGAATCCTAAAAAGGCTGGTTTTGAAAACATAAATATTCAATGTCCTTCTTTACATAGTTATTTGAAATTTCAAAATGAATTCTATACTGTAACTTTAAAATCAAAACAACTGCAACACTGAATATACTTATTTTCCACACTGTACCCATCTCTCCCAGTTCTCCCAAGAGCTGAACGCCAGCGAACTAAAGATTCCTGACGCAGGAGTTCACGGTGCTGAGCCAGGGGCAGACTCCTGTCCGGGCTGCTGGGAGAACAGGTGCCCTTGAAGCAGGGGGTGAGGAGAGTGAGAGGGAAGGGCCTGCATATTTGCGTGGTTTACTTTAACATGCAAACGTAAGTGATTAGCTTAACGCCTGACGCGTACAAAGGACTCAGACATTTTAATTATTATTTTATTATGAGTGAGGGTAGGGTGCCCTTGGATTTTCCTGATCAGAAATATACCAATTAAAAATCAATTAAATAGATTTAAAAAGCTGTGGTACATTTGCACGATGGAATACTATGCAGCTATAAAAAAGAAGGATCTCTTACCCCTGGAGACAGCATGGAGGACCTGGAGAGTATCATGCTAAGTTAAATAAGCCAATTATAGAAAGACAAGTATGACATGATCTCATTTATATGTGGAACCTAATGAACAAAAACAACTGATGCACAAAATAGATCCAGAGACATGGGAGCAGGGAACAGACTGACAAATCTAAGAGAAAAATGGGGAGGAAGGGCAGGAAGAGCTTAACCAAACCCATGGACACGGACAACAGTGCAGTGAGGGCGGGGCTGGGGAGCAGGGTGGAGGGTCGGGGGGAAAGGGGATATCTGTAGTACTTTCAACAATGAAGATACATTTTAAAAAAATCAATTAAAACACTTGGTGTTTATAATAAACTCCTATCATTTTTGCAAATTCTACTAAGGATCATCCTCATTTGTCTTTGTACTAATTTTGTTTTGCTTTAACAGAGAAGCAAATTAGTTTTAAATGGGGCAGGAAGAGAGGAGAAATCTTCCTGTGACTGGTAACTCCATTAGATGAGAGGTAACAAATTCCAAGAAACGAACCACCTCCTCTCAGAAGCTCTTCCTGAACATCCAGGAGAGGCCCCGTGAGTCCCTACCCCTCCACAGCACACCTGCCTCCTGCTGCTCCTTCCCCAAGTGTGCCTCCCCCGAGGAGCAGGGCTCTGCCCCTTCCCTGAGTGTGCCTCCCCCGAGGAGCAGGGCTCGCCCCCTTCCCTGAGTGTGCCTCCCCCAAGGAGCAGGGCTCTCCCCCTTCCCTGAGTGTGCCTCCCCCAAGGAGCAGGGCTCTCCCCCTTCCCTGAGTGTGCCTCCCCCAAGGAGCAGGGCTCGCCCCCTTCCCTGAGTGTGCCTCCCCCGAGGAGCAGGGCTCGCCCCCTTCCCTGAGTGTGCCTCCCCCAAGGAGCAGGGCTCTCTCCCTTCCCTGAGTGTGCCTCCCCCGAGGTGCAGGGCTCTCTCCCTTCCCTGAGTGTGCCTCCCCCGAGGTGCAGGGCTCTCCCCCTTCCCTGAGTGTGCCTCCCCCAAGGAGCAGGGCTCTCTCCCTTCCCTGAGTGTGCCTCCCCCGAGGTGCAGGGCTCTCCCCCTTCCCTGAGTGTGGCCTCCCCCAAGGAGCAGGGCTCTCCCCCTTCCCTGAGTGTGCCTCCCCCAAGGAGCAGGGCTCTCCCCCTTCCCTGAGTGTGCCTCCCCCAAGGAGCAGGGCTCTCCCCCTTTCCTGAGTGTGCCTCCCCCAAGGAGCAGGGCTCTCCCCCTTCCCTGAGTGTGCCTCCCCCAAGGAGCAGGGCTCTCTCCCTTC